GGGCAAATTACTTATTCGGTTATATTGTTTTTCATTTGTACATTGAGTTCTACTATTGAGTCACATCAGTAGGTAAAGTACCCTGCCTCACCTGAAAGATATTATATGAGAAAACATAAAGCTGAAACAAGTACTCAGCATTTTACAAGAAAGTCAAAACATGACAAGAAAGCTCAAACAACACATTACAAGAAAGTTCAAACAACAGATTACAAGAAAGTTCCAAAAACAAATTACAAGAAAGTTCCAACAACACATTACAAGAAAGTTCCAACAACACATTACAAGAAAGTTCCAACAACACATTACAAGAAAGTTCCAACAACACATTACAAGAAAGTTCCAACAACACATTACAAGAAAGTTCCAACAACACATTACAAGAAAGTTCCAACAACACATTACAAGAAAGTTCCAACAACACATTACAAGAAAGTTCCAACAACACAAGAAAGTTCCACAACAAAAAGTTCCAACAACACATTACAAGAAAGTTCCAACAACTCATTACAAGAAAGTTCCAACAACACATTACAAGAAAGTTCCAACAACACATTACAAGAAAGTTCCAAAAACACATTACAAGAAAGTTCCAACAACACATTACAAGAAAGTTCCAAAAACACATTACAAGAAAGTTCCAACAACACATTACAAGAAAGTTCCAACAACACATTACAAGAAAGTTCCAAAAACACATTACAAGAAAGTTCCAACAACACATTACAAGAAAGTTCCAACAACACATTACAAGAAAGTTCCAACAACACATTACAAGAAAGTTCCAACAACACATTACAAGAAAGTTCCAAAAACACATTACAAGAAAGTTCCAAAAAACACATTACAAGAAAGTTCCAACAACACATTACAAGAAAGTTCCAACAACACATTACAAGAAAGTTCCAACAACACATTACAAGAAAGTTCCAACAACACATTACAAGAAAGTTCCAACAACACATTACAAGAAAGTTCCAACAACACATTACAAGAAAGTTCCAACAACACATTACAAGAAAGTTCCAACAACACATTACAAGAAAGTTCCAAAAACACATTACAAGAAAGTTCCAACAACACATTACAAGAAAGTTCCAAAAACACATTACAAGAAAGTTCCAACAACACATTACAAGAAAGTTCCAACAACACATTACAAGAAAGTTCCAAAAACACATTACAAGAAAGTTCCAGCAACACATTACAAGAAAGTTCCAACAACACATTACAAGAAAGTTCCAACAACACATTACAAGAAAGTTCCAACAACACATTACAAGAAAGTTCCAAAAATACATTACAAGAAAGCTTAAACAACACATTGCAAAAAAGTTCCAAAAATACATTACAAGAAAGTTCCAAAAACACATTACAAGAAAGTTCCAACAACACATTACAAGAAAGTTCCAAAAACACATTACAAGAAAGCTTAAACAACACATTGCAAAAAAGTTCCAAAAATACATTACAAGAAAGTTCCAAAAACACATTACAAGAAAGTTCAAACAACATATTGCAAGAAAGCTCAAACAACATATTACAAAAAAGTTCCATCAACAAATTACAAGAAAGTTCAAACAACACATTACAAGAAAGTTCAAACAACATATTACAAAAAAGTTCCATCAACACATTACAAGAAAGTTCAAACAACACATTACAAGAAAGTTCAAACAACATATTACAAAAAAGTTCCATCAACACATTACAAGAACGTTCAAACAACACATTACAAGAAAGTTCAAACAACATATTACAAAAAAGTTCCATCAACACATTACAAGAAAGTTCAAACAAAACATTGCAAAAAAGTTCCAAAAATACATTACAAGAAAGTTCAAACAACACAATGCAAGAAAGCTCAAATAACACATTACAAGAAAGTTCCAACAACACCTTACACAAAAGTTCTAACAACACATTATATGAAAGCTCACACAACACATAACATGAAAGCTCACACAACACATAACAAAACAGTTCAAACAACACATTATATGAAAGCTCAAACAATACATGAGAAATCCTAAAGCGATCCACAAAAACTTAAACGACACATTACAAGAAAGCTCAAACAACACATTAGAAAAAATAAAATAATTTTACATACTTAAACAAACGCAGCTTAAACAAAACATAAAAAACTATAAAAAAAAAGTAAAAAAAGCCACACATCACAAGAAAGATAGAAGGTATATTTTAATTCTGTGTTTAAAGCATTTAACGTTAGACACACACTTTTCATGACGAAACAAATCAAACAGTCCCAGTCCACGATTTATACGTCAGCAAATTTGATTACAATTAACAAAGTTCCAAAACCATTACCAAGCAGAAAACTCTACAACAGAAAACACAGACAAGTCTGTGGGTCCCCACATTCTACTAACCTTCAATGTATGAAAGGCTTTGGACACAACAAGCATCACATCCTCAACTGATGGAAGGTTTCGGGTAAAACAAGCCATTTTCTAACATTCAACACCCGGGCTCTCTAGCGTAGTTGGCTAAACCGAATTGTGCGGTGACCGGGTGACGAACTCCTTGTGGTCAGGGTTCACTCCCGGGGGTAGGCAGAAAAGCCACATTTCTCCCAGATCTATGGTATTTACAATGGAATCAAGGCCGAAAGGTTGCGATATCCATAATACCGAGCCTAAGGGTTAACAACTCATGGCTTCTGGATACTAAAACAAACAAACATTCAAAATATGGAAGGCTGCGTGTGTAGCTGGCTGAATTGTTCACAGAACTGGGCTATAAACTGGGAGACCCAGGTGTGAATAACAAACTTTTCTGATCTTACATTTATGTAAAGCTTAAGCGGCTGGCTGAACTGTTCTGAACATTGGACTCTCAAGTGGTAGACCCAAGTTCAAATCCTGGCTAAGGTGATGGATTTGTTTCTATCAGGGCAAAAAATAAAATTGGAATCTGCAGTCCGTGGCGACTGCAGACATTGCGACCCTTAATCCCCAGGCTTAAGATCTTCTTACCTCCCCACTTCTTCTTCTGCCTTTTGTTCCCCCAATGGAGCATAGGCCCTCAACCAACTCATGCCAAGTTGTTCTATCCTTCACTATTGCCTGCCTTCACTCCTACGAACCATACCCTCCATCACTGTCTTCTCTCAACCATTAAGGCATTTATCATGGCCAAGGTATTTTCAGTTGACAAGAAACTGTTTGGTTTATAAGCCAGTTCTTTTCATAGCTGGATGTTTTCACTGTCCTGTTGTGACACTATACATCACCAAAGGTTGGCACTCTATTTCTTTATTCCATTCTATCCTGTGCCATCAGTTCAATATCATTGATGGAATCCAGTGGAGCAGCTTTGGCTTCTCTCATATGTTCAATATAGGGTTTCTCTTGAACGTCTTCGTTTTCTCAGTTCCTTTATCTCTCAATTTCAATCCTCGTTTGGTGGTTTTCTATTTGTCTTTTCTCAGGATGTGTGCAATATAACGCCATCTTGTCTGTCTGATACCTGTTGATACAAATGTGATACAAATGGTTGCCCCAGACATTTATCTAGTTTTTCTTCATTTCTCCTGAATTCATCCCATTTTTATCTTCATCATTTTTCTCAGGCACTGGATACAAAAAGATACAAAGCAGGAACTGTGTAGGGCTGACTATGTAAATGTCAGACAGAGGGAAACCACAGTTCCTGGGAACCCCTCAATACAAAGAAGATGAACAGTAACTCTCCTAGTTTTTAAAAAATCTTCACACTGTCACCACAAAATATAAAAGGATAGACATGAGTTCAATTAGTTGTGTATCCCTTACAGGATGCTGTAGGATCAAACCCAGCATCTGTTTTGGATGCTATGGCTTCACTAGGCAATCTCAAATACAGAAGTTTGCCACTCCTTCTAAAGGGTCGGCTCTTGATACCCAAGTCAAAATCAATACGAGGCAGTGTGCTGCCAAATCGTCCGCAGTTGGAATAAAAACGGATACCTTGGACTTAAGAATTGCGCCTAAACCTCAGTCGCCAACATAAAAATGAGACAGAAGGATAAATCTAGAAATGTAATCACCTTTAAAAAAGAAGACCATTTTTGTGCCAGTGGCGCACCAAGTACATGACGCGTCTCATTTTTGTGGACCAATCAGCTCTCAGTGGGTGGTGTTGTTAAGATCACATTGGCCACCATTACTTCCCAGGACTTTACTAGGTACCCGTCTTTACTGTTCTGTTTTCCCACCAGTGCGATCATTCACTTCAGCCAGCCTGAATCTTCTCATTATGTAACCAAACAATGAATGCTTCTTCAATTTGTTTTCTGAAATAAGTTTCCTACATGTTTAGAACACCGATGTAAACTGACCTTATAATTTTAACACCATCTGTAAAAAAAAATGTTTGATGGTTTCAAGTTAATTAATTCTGTCTTAAAAACAAAACAAAAAAAACACGCAGGCTACCCCCCCCCCCCCCCCCCCCCCCCAGGGCAAGAGCTGACATCAACAAAAAACAATAATATTATCAATGTGCAATACCGAATGTACTATAATTAACCTGCATACTAAATATTTGCATAACTAAACTATCATCCTCAGATAAACAATGATTGCTGTAGCAACAACATGTCCTCACATAAACAATGATTACTGTAGCAACAACATGTCCTCACATAAACAATGATTGCTGTAGCAACAACATGTTCTCACATAAACAATGATTGCTGTAGCAACAACATGTCCTCAGATAAACAATGATTGCTGTAGCAACAACATGTCTATATAAGATCACATGGTCCTCACATAAACAATGATTGCTGTAGCAACAACATGTCTATATAAGATCATATGGTCCTCACATAAACAATGATTGCTGTAGCAACAACATGTCTATATAAGATCACATGGTCCTCTACAAGTACACTTGTTAAGTTAAGCGAACATCACACACATACACAAGTTTTGTTTGATACACATGAACCAGAACGTCAGGGCCTGTCACGGAGTCTAACACCAGTCTCAGGGTTAAGATTCACTTTCTAGTCGTTGTTTTAAGTGGGTCAACAGGGCATCGCAGGTCTTCTTGGCATCTCCCAGTAACATGGAAGTGTTGGGCTTGAAGAAAACTGGGTTATCCACAGCTGCATAGCCCACACCAAGCGTCCTCTTCATGACAATCACCTGAGAATGGTAGAAATTGAACCAGTTAAAAAAAAATGTGGGTGGGGGGATAAAGCCACAGCTCCCTAACAAACATGTTGCAATAGGTGATTAATTATGGGTTTGCTAATATCAGATATCACCATCGAGCTGTAAACCACAATGTGCAAACCACCCTTTAGCAATAAAAGCAAAAAGCTCCTCAAGACAGATCATCATTATCATCATCAGGTGCCTTGCCGACTGGCATGGGCGATCATGCCTCTCCATAATCCATGATCTCCAATCAGCACTGAATGAGTAATGTGCTCAACATCTCACAAGCCACCTTTACTTCCCAGAACTTAATCCTGGTACCATTTTAAGGTAAGTCGACCAGGGAGACAAGATCATTCCCCCCTTCCCCAAATCAATTTCGACCCAGATTCAAAGCCAGGACCTTCGGGATGGCAAGCAGGCATGTAACCACTACAGTACAGTAGCTGCCCAGGTCACTGTGTCTATCTCTAACATTTCCACATCTCATCAGGACAAATCTTGTGAGCACACAATGAGAACAGAAAGCACCTATGGGGTCTCCGTAGTGAAGTGGTCATACCATCTGCTTTGCACTCTGAAGGTTGCAGGTTCCTTTCCATTAGGTTAACTAGTACAATTTTACAAGATTCCTGGCGACTGTCGCAGGAGCTGCTGAGTGTGTTTTGTGCTGACAGTGTCCGCAGGTGCTTGTAGTTCTGCAGAGAGACTGAGCCATATGGGATAAAAACCAAGTGCAATGAAGGCGATCCTTCCTTCTTTAAACTTGGAAGGCATTTACAACATGTGCTTAACCAAATGGCCTATGGAACTTGAGTTTTTACACTCTTAATATCTAAGGAAATCAGAACACATATGAGCATTAGCCAAGCGTCATGACACCGGAATTGCAAAACAAATTAGGGCAGAGCAAGATTTTAAAAACAATCACCAACATGTGCCACGCTGGTAGGCACAGGCTGTTATGTTTTACCATCTCACATGACCACCAGAGTCAAGGACCAGTTCAATATTAATCCTCGTATTCATCTGTTTGCCTTCCTCGTGCTCTCTTTCTATCAATCGTGCCTGTTGTCACCAAGTTCTCCAGTCCATCTCTTCTCACAATATACTTAAAAAAAAAATAAAAAAAAAGAACAATTAAACGAAAATCTTACATGTCTGGCCAACCATACTCGCAGTACAGGCATGCCAGCAATAATGGAGTTTGGATCCTCTTCAGCAGCTGAGTTCACTGTGTCGTTAGCTCCGATAACCATGGCCAGGTCTGTCTGTGGGAAGTCATCATTCAGTTCCTCCATCTCCTGCACGATGTCATAGGGCACTCCAGCCTCGGCCAACAGGACATTTAGCTGTCCAGGCATACGACCTAAAACAACAACCACAGACAGCAAGCATGAAATCATCTGACTCCAGCACTGGTTCAAAATCAGCGTATGTCGGCCTAACAGGTCAGGAACCAGCAGTCTGCATACAAATAAACCAGATCTGTCAAATGGAAAGGCATGCAAAACTCAAGTTCTGGACCAAGACCAAAGTCCACGAGTGGATGAACAACCAGAATTTTCCGCCAGAGTTTACAGTTGGTGAACACTAAAAAGATCTTACCTCCACAGTTCTCACGAGTTCAAAAGTTCATGTGTAAACGTAAACATGTGTGAAATACATTTGTAGCCTCCCCTGAGTTAAGAACCAATATCACAGCACTCAGGACATTCCCATACACTCACTATCTTCATCTTCAGCAGCCAGCAAAGAGTTCCAATAATGACGGTATCAGTAGAAGTTTGACTGTATGTCTGTCTTGCCATTTCTCTGAGTGTATAGTCATTGGGCGGGGTTTGAACATCACTGCAGAGGGGTCGCCCCAGAACTGCTGCACTCCTGTGCCAGTTGAAATCACATAAAATGTCTAATACTGTCCCACTTTAAATCTAGGTACACGTAATGTTAGTCTTCCCACGTCCCGCCCATATACACACTACCTCACTTCTGATTGGTAGTTCCTGAACCTGTCACCTTGGCACAAGGTTACCGGGGTGTTCTGCAATGCCGTTGATATCGCGTGTTGTATATTTCAGCATGCCAGCGCTTTTAACAGTCCAAAAACACGAAGAAACTGGCCCTAACACAACTCCTCCTAGAGAGTGCTGCAACCTATGTCACAGGTATTCTCTTTCTCAGAATGAAGACGTAAATGCCAGCAATGCAGAAAGCAAATTACAGAGCGGGACACAGATGCAACCTTCAGGAAAGTCGACCAGCCCCACAAACTTGTGAATGAAAAGTGACCCACTCTATTTTGGGAGATTAACGTTACTTTAACCGAAATCTAGTAGAAAATGTTGTCAGCCCTAGGAAAATGGTGAAGCTTGCCCATGCAAAGTAAAAATGCATAGGGCAGCTGTCAGAAGTGCCAATATGAATGGTCCAACACCTGAACTGCAGCTCCCTGTGAGTGCAGCTGGTTAACCACAAAAGCTCTGGTCTGGAATTTCCAAAAATGTGTGTCACTGGCTTAGTTTTTTCCAGGTCACCAGGGCGAACGGGTCAAATTAATATTATATTTTTTCTGCAATTTGGATATGACCAAAAATATGGAAATCAACTTAAACAGTTACTAACAAAACTACAAACATTTATTAACCCTACGAGACCTGAGGCCCTGAACCTAACTGCCTCCTATGCCAGAGCTCCTGGGCATTAATGCGAAAAACCAACATGATATACAAAAATATTAGTTACATGCAAACAAGTAGCTAGAATGAGATGAAACTTGGAGACATTGTAGAAAATAGGTTTACCTTTTATCTAGCACCAATATGCCACCTTTGTGTGCTAAACCACCCAGCTGGATCAACATTGTTTCACAAAGTGAACACCAGATGTTGCTTTTTGAGGGACACGCCCCCTTTTCCTACTTTCGATGTATTTCTAGATTTATAATTTTCAAGATTTTCATTCGAGCTCTCAGTGACAGTGTCACTTCAACTGGGAATACATTCTTCATGAAATTATAACTCTGCAGAGTCTGAATAAACCAAAGTATCAATCACCTGTTGGACTGTGAAAAGCCTAGACCAACTCCACTTTCCTGTCAAAGTGCTTGGTTCATCAGCCGCTCGTTTTATTGTGAATTTTCAGAATTTGTTCACGTAAAACAACACAAATTTAATTTAAATACATGCGGGCAGACATCTAGGAAGACTATCCACAAGATATGATTACGAGTGGCTAGTTATTTTTAGTTTGTGACGTATTGTTTTCACATAGTACGCCAACTGCCGACATTGAGGGACAGCGGTTTAGCGGCAGATTCAGAAATTCCCGTAATAGCGGTCCAACGGTTTGGTAGAGTTAACTGGTATCTGCACAACAGAGAAGGAATTAAACGGTATGACAAAATCACTAATGCAACATTCATAGAGAAAACTAAATAAATTCCAGTTCTTTTTCTTTTCTTCTGCACAAAATAAATTGTGTACATATGCAATGTTTTCATTCTATCATGATGAAACAAGTTGTCTTTGGAACACTGCTCTCATCAAGTCAGTCTGAAAGATCTGTCTCTCGCCAGCTATCCTGCCACATGCACTTTCCTACTCAATGAGTCACTTGTATCCTGCACCCATCTTTGTGTTGGTCGGCCCCTGCCCCTCTTTCCAGGTACCATGCCTTCTGCTATTTTTTATTCCAATCCAGAGTGGTGCTTGATATAGCCACAATATCTGTTTCCAAGGCTTTCAAGATGTTGTTTACCAGCCTATCTTCCTTGATATCTGATTTCTTTTAGGATGTCAGTATTTGTTTTTTCTTCTTGATCCCTGGTATTCTGAGAATTGTTCTATGGCACTTCAGCTCAAAAGCCCTTATTTTCTCCTTTAATCCCTGCTTTCCTATAAACTTCACAAACTTCAGTGAATCAAAGGGTAAGAAAAAGATAGTGGTGCCAAACAGACCCCACAATGAAGAAACTTGTAGTTGTACTACAGCTAATCTAATTAGGTCACAAACACTGTATGGTGAGTTAGTGATGTGCATCATCAAGAGATCTGCAACAACAAGCTGATACCCCACTGTCTGTCAAAGATAACTTACCAGCAACAGGATGGATGCCAAAGCGGACATTCTTGCCTCTCTTCCTCAGCAAATCCACCATCTCTGCAATAGGGTACTGGGCCTTAGCCACACACAAGCCGTATCCTGGTTACAGATCAACCAATCAACAATTAGCTAAAACACAAGAGCAAGGTTACATTTTGTTTTAAACTACAAGAAAGAGAATGCAATACGAAAGTTTGGCTAACAAGTGACCCAGTTAACTAACTTTCCGTCTAAAGAAGACAATTTCGGCCTCAGCTAACAAACTGAGATTCGACTAATGAATATTTCAGTGGATGTGCCGGCTAATATAATACAGTTGCATGATGATGTTACATTTTTACACCAATCACAGGAAATCAGGTTTTAACTTAAGAAGATTTCGGCTAAAGAAAGTGATTCTGGAATGAATTATCTGTGTTAAAGAATCACTGTGTTTCATTCATGTGGTGAGAAAAAGGCATGATGAACATTGTGACGACCAGAAAGATTGACTGTACAATGCTGTTAAATGTTGAATAAAGAATCAACACTCAGCACTCAGGATATTCCCATAGGCACTCCATCCGCCTTTCCAGCAGCAAGCACAGAGTTCCATGTCTGATGGCACCAGTAAGAGTCTGTATATCTGTCCCACATTTCCACTGAGTGTTGAGTGTCAGCCGCATCCCCTGGTTACTCCTCGCAGCAGCATCCCCTGGTTACTCCTTGCAGCCGCATCCCCTGGTTACTCCTCGCAGCCGCATCCCCTGGTTACTCCTCGCAGCCGCATCCCCTGGTTACTCCTCGCAGCAGCATCCCCTGGTAACTCCTCGCAGCCGCATCCCCTGGTTACTCCTCGCAGCCGCATCCCCTGGTTACTCCTCGCAGCCGCATCCACTGGTTACTCCTCGCAGCAGCATCATTCTTTTTCATACTCCTCAGACCGTGATGATCTATTTGTGCCTCTGCACTGCTCACTTGCTCCCAAAGGACCCTTACAAAACCCAGCTTGCCATGCATCATGTCACCAGTTCATCATCAAGAAGTGCAAAACCAGCCAGTTTATCTGCCTTTTCATTTCCCAACACACCGGAATGAACTGGAGAAAAGAAGACTGACTGTAGAATTCCTGCACTATCTAACAAAGATTTGTTTCTGGCCTACACTGCTCTGAGGTTGATCCAGATTCATTACAATGGGGGCTCAGAATGTTCTGGGAATTGCCAGAAAGAGGTCAAGAAATGGAATTAGCCACCCCTACCTCCAGTCTCACTGCCTAGAATAAGAAGTATAAGTGGGCAGGTTTTATTCCATATGCTCCAGCCTCTCTCTGCCTGCCGAGAGTGCCTCACAAAGCACAACCTATGTAGCCCCAGCAACAATCCCCAGGGATCTCTGTAAAAACTGCACCTGTTAACCAAGCAAACAAAGAGCAAGAGGCAAAAAAACTGGACCAGTCACTGACAACCCCGTGGCCTAGAATATCCAAAGCGTAACATTTCACATCCAACATTGCCTTATCTACTATGGGTCTATATCATCTGGCAAGGCCCACACAAATCTGCATGTTTATATTTTCATAGTTTGTTGTAAGATGGATCGGACATAGGACAGAAAAATGTTCTTGTTTTGTTTGGGTTCTTCATGTTTTGGACACTCTTGTAGCAAATGCTTAGCCATGATTTTATTTTCGTCTTCTTCTTAGCATTCACAGACTGTAAATTTTGGTTCATCCAAATCTGAAATTTGGTCGTTTTCCAGTACTTGAGTGTTGTGTGCACATCCATTTGACTGATCTGGCTTAACTGTGTGCAGGCTGTTAGTTACTTGCCTCTCAGCAGATGCACTCTGGCTTCAAAGAAAAAGGACAATCCTATTTACGTTAGCCAGGTGTTCACGTGAGAACCTGTTTCTAGGATTACCCCAGTGAGGTAGAGGCAGGTCTTGATCAGGTCCTGGTGTACCACCATGTGGAGCTCAGCACATATGCATCAGTTAGTTTATAAACTCCAGTTGTTACAATCAGCAGTACCTACAATCTTTAGCAAAATCAGCGAATACAGGCCTCACAGTGGATAACATAATGGGCCCGGTTAGTTCAGTCGCAAGAGCATCAGAAGATATGCCAATCAACATTTGCCAGGTAAGCTGAGCGTGGAGAGACTGAGATGGCTGCTGCCTCCAAGGAGGGGGCCTGAATGGGTCAGTCCGATGTGCTAGGATGTCAATACAGACAAGTAACAAGACTACACAAGACAGACACAACATGAATAAGTAAGTACCTGGGACAATGATAATGTTCTTGGCTTCCTCAATGAGATCCACTGTCCCATCCACATTGATTTCCGTGTGGGTTCCAGTGATTTCCATGGGCTTGCCTGTGCCTGTGGAGCTAGTACCGTAACCTCCCAGGATCACATTGGGCAGGGATCGGTTCATGGCCTGCCAGCAGAGTTACAGTAACAGAAAAGCTTGTCAATCTTTGTCTTTGTTCGCCCATAAAAGAGCGGTTTACACATGTTTTATTGTTTACAGCTAGGCTGTGATATCCACACCTTTCAGCCAAACACATCTAATTTCAGTTAATCCCTAATTACTTGTCTTTCATGAAATTCTGGTTAAAGAGCTGTGGGACTATTCTTTTTCCCCCCACCCAAAATAGGACCCTGAAACCCCCACAGGGACCCAGCCAATCAAATATCTACATAAATGACCTGTCTTCCCTACCAGCTCTCTTCAATCTCAGGCTACAGAAATATGGAAACTTGTGGGCAGAGTGGTCCTGACTTACAACACCCACCTCTAACTTTAAAACTGGCCTGCTCCAAATCCACTGTGGACTGTATTTCAAAATAAGATGTTCCACTTCACTGTTTAGTCTCCCTGACTCCCATACTTTAGACTTCACTGTTTAGTCTCCCTGACTCCCATACTTTAGACTTCACTGTTTAGTCTCCCTGACTCCCATACTTTAGACTTCACTGTTTAGTCTCCCTGACTCCCATACTTTAGACTTCACTGTTTAGTCTCCCTGACTCCCATACTTTAGACTTCACTGTTTAGTCTCCCTGACTCCCATACTTTAGACTTCACTGTTTAGTCTCCCTGACTCCCATACTTTAGACTTCACTGTTTAGTCTCCCTGACTCCCATACTTTAGACTTCACTGTTTAGTCTCCCTGACTCCCATACTTTAGACTTCACTGTTTAGTCTCCCTGACTCCCATACTTTAGACTTCACTGTTTAGTCTCCCTGACTCCCAAATTTTAGCTGGTTTCTGACATTATTTGGACAACCAGGCCTGCTTTTAGTAGTCAATTTTACTTCTGAGTGTTTGAAACGTTATAAACATGTAGCCTTGTCTATTTTTTCTTCGTATAGTCCATGCCGTGAGACCAATACACGTCATCATAGACCAAACGATATCCTGATCTGTGAGACGAAGTTATCTTCTCATAGATCACTCTTGTCTTGAGCTGCGGAACTGGGATGTTCTTTCTGTGAACAAGGGATACCAGAGTGAGGGTGAATGAAACCAGATGTCTCACCTTGCACATGATGTAGGAGAGGATAGCACCAGAAGATCCAATCAGAGCCCCAACAATGGTCATGAGGTTATTGTCCAGCATGAAGCCCTCGGCACAGAGAGCCCAGCCGGAGTATGAGTTCAGAACTGTGATCACCACAGGCATATCAGCACCTGCAAGCAGTCACCAAATAATGAGAATATATAGGGACAACATGTTGCCAGATACAAGCACCTGCAAGCAGTCACCAAACAATGATAACACTGAGGGACAACATGTTGCCAGATACTAGCACCTGCAAGCAGTCACCAAACAAACAATAAGAATATATAGGGACAACATGTTGCCAGATACAAGCACCTGCAAGCAGTCACCAAATAATGAGAATATATAGGGACAACATGTTGCCAGATACAAGCACCTGCAAGCAGTCACCAAACAATGATAACACTGAGGGACAACATGTTGCCAGATACTAGCACCTGCAAGCAGTCACCAAATAATGAAAATATATAGGGACAACATGTTGCCAGATACAAGCACCTGCAAACAGTCACCAAATAATGAGAATATATAGGGACAACATGTTGACAGATCCTAGCACCTGCAAGCAGTCACGAAACAATGATAACAATGAGGGACAACATGTTGCCAGATACTAGCACCTGCAAGCAGTCACCAAACAAACAATGATACAATGAGGGACAACATGTTGCCAGATACTAGCACCTGCAAGCAGTCACCAAACAAACAATGATAACACTGAGGGACAACATGTTGCCAGATACTAGCACCTGCAATAAGTCACCAAACAAACAATGATAACACTGAGGGACAACATGTTGCCAGATACTAGCACCTGCAAGCAGTCACCAAACAAACAATGATAACACTGAGGGACAACATGTTGCCGGATACTAGCACCTGCAAGCAGTCACCAAACAAACAATGATAACACTGAGGGACAACAAGTTGCCAGATACTAGCACCTGCAAGCAGTCACCAAACAAACAATGATAACACTGAGGGACAACATGTTGCCGGATACTAGCACCTGCAAGCAGTCACCAAACAAACAATGATAACACTGAGGGACAACAAGTTGCCAGATACTAGCACCTGCAAGCCGTCACCAAACAAACAATGATAACAGTAAGGGACAACATGTTGCCAGATACTAGCACTTGCAAGCAGTCACCAAACAAATAATGATAACACTGAGGGACAACATGTTGCCAGATACTAGCACCTGCAAGCAGTCACCACCAACCAAACATTGATAACACTGAGGGACAACATTTTGCCTGATACTAGCACCTGCAAGCCGTAACCAAACAAACAATGATAACACTGAGGGGCAATATGTTGCCAGACAAAAGCACCTGCAAGCAGTCACCAAACAAACAATGATAACACTGAGGGACAACATGTTGCCAGACAATAGCCCCTGCAAGCAGTCACCAAACAAACAATGATAACACTGAGGGACAACATGTTGCCAGACAATAGCCCCTGCCAGCAGTGACCTACCAACCACACAATGAGAACAATGTTTGTGCAATGTTTTCAGCAGGTGGCTAGCTGTTCTGCATAAAGAGATTTAACTGTATGGGATAAACTGGCACAATCAAGTGAACATTACAAGGGTGATACTGCTTGGAACACAACAAGTGACGGAGAAGAGACAATGCCTACCTCCTATAGCAGCTGTCAAGGTCACACCCATGACGCTGGAGAGGGCAGCAGTAGTTCCCAGCATGCTGAGTCCCACGCTGGGGCTGCTGTCCATCATGTAGTAGCCCAGAGCTCCGACGTTGGCCAGCATCATGCCGGCATTGATGATGTTGCGGCCTGGCAGCAGGAGTGGCTCAGACTTCAGCACACCTGGAATATGAGCAAGTTTAACAACTGCATCAACATCTATCTCCATTGTCACTCACTGGAACACATTCATAGATGTACACAATCATAGACAAATACAACCAGATACACAATCACAGACATTTTCAACAAGACTTAAACAAACACAGACATAAACTCACTGAGACACCCAACCAGACATGCAAAATCATTGACACATGCAAAAAAAGACAAAAAACCAGACACATCATAAGAGACATACATCAGACCATTAATTTGAGACACACATTGGCAGACCAATTCAACCAGTCACACAGTCATATATGCACTTCCAGACAGACAGAACCACTGAAATGCAATAATAGGAACACATCTTAAATATGCATTAAAATACAAAAAGATAAGACATCATGGAATGAACACAAAAGACAACTAGATACTTCTACACTTTGATTTTAGCTAAAAAACCAGGAAGCGATACAACTGGATCACAAACAGTATCATTTCATAGTAGTAAATAAACCATTCTCCTGGAAGACAAAACATACTGTTCATTGCCTAGTTTTGATTGATCAAGTGGTAGTCATAGACTGATGTTATCGCTACCATATCTGCTGTCTTCACCTTTCAAATCCTTTCCTGGTAACCATTTAAGACTGGGCTGATCTGAGAGCTTTCTCTTCTACTGTGATGAACTTAGATTCTAAATTCAGCAAACTCCTCACTGTTCACATTTTTATTACATGCTTGTTAGGGATAAACTATGACAAACCACTGAACATAATGTTGCTAGTAAATGACAAACTGCCAAAACTTGCTGAGGTAGGTTCTGCAACATCCTGTAAAGGATTCCCAACTAAAATCTTTGTAAGTTTAACCCCCTCCCACCCTCAAAATGAGGCTCCAGAACCTGAGAGAGATCTGCAAGCCAGGTCTGTTTGAAAAAATGTCCTTCCTGGAAGTGGATCTAAACTCATGACCACAAGGAAAGCTGGCAGGTGTGTCAGCCACTACACCAAGTTGACTCCACAAATCTGTAAAAGCCAGAAAAAACAAAGCAAATAAATGCTGTATTAGCCTCCCGAAAACTAAAAACCCACCCTGGAGTTTTCCAAAAGCCACAAGGGACCCGGTGAATGTCACCCCTCCGATGAAGGTTCCCAGGAAGAGGAAAGTCTTGATGACATTGGCAGCGGGATCAGAAGCAAAATGAGGCTGCTCTAAGAGGTAGTTAGCAAAGCAGGTGATGACTGCAGCTGCTCCCACCAGGCTGTGGAACAAGGCCACCATCTGGGGCAGGTCGGTGACCTCCATTCTCTTGGCCATGACAGTGCCAATTAGACCACCTACAAAACAGAAAATAAATGATGCAAAAGATGGCTATCCTCCGAATAACAGGCACTAAAGATGGTGGCGCAAAATATTCTTTCGAGCCGCAGTCACGTGTCATTCTTCTTCTTCGCATTCACCAGCTGTAAACTCCAACGGAAAGTTCAGGTTGTTCCTTCACCTCCCGACTTTAGTCTTGTTCCAGAACCTGAGTGTTCCATGCACATCCTTTTTCTTACGGATCTAGCTTATCTGTATGCAGACCGCTAGCTCCTTGCCTCGCAGGCAGATGTACTGTCACTCGGAAAGATACCCCTCCAATAAGTCGACTCCAACAACATGCTAGTTGAGGGGTCAGTGGGTCTATTTGAGTTCCTCCCACACAATGGGGCCTGCTGGTTTTGGTGTGGAGAGTTCTGCCACGGCTTAAGACCTCTTGCCAAGGCAGCTGCAATATAGTTTAGAGGATTGAAGGTAGAATACGTCTGAGGTTATCACTCTAGATTTTTGCTTCCAAAAGTTAGCTATTGCATTTTTCTCCATATGTAGACTGAAAGATATAGTTCCACTGCCCAGCTTGCAAGCGACTGCACAGCGCGACACTGGGAGGGGTGTAATTCATTTAGAATGCTTTTCGACTGTGCACAATGTGGTTTATTTTGTGAACTGCAGACTCAAAAAATGGAGAGTAGCCTGTTACCAGAGAACTGGCAGTGCCTTATGCAAATAAATGTGTGTGCGACCATCAAACTGTTCTAAATGTTGCTTTCACTGAAGATGATCTGCACTTCTAGTGCCAAACTGTTTGTCTTTATATTTCTGATGGATACCTTATGTATTTAATGTGTGGGTATGCTAGTGGCTTGGCAGAGACTGCAGTCTGTGTCAGGTTTTTCTCACAAAGGACAGTCAAGGAAACTCTGTTGTTTTCACTGGCACAGGAATGGGGTGACCATGGGGTGACCCATCTGCTTTGATGTAGGAACTGTGATAACTTTATCACCATAGGTTATGACTGCAGACCTAGTTTGATTCAAGTGTGGATTTGTTGTCATTTTCTTCTGGTTTTCATTTTCCAATGCAGCATCAGCCCTCACTTAACTGATACCAGTCCCTTTACAGTTAATCTGAGGAGTAGAACCGCTTATGGACATATCCATTTGCAATGTAGAAGGTGCTCAACACAAACAGGTGGAAGGGGTGTGAATAGGTTGAAAATTAAAATAAAAACTTCCAACAGACAGACCTAAACCATAAAGAAAAGATGAAATGCAATTTATTAAGCATATCAAAAGATGAGATGATAGTTAAGTAAGGAATATATGGGGGTGGGAGAGGAAAGCAGTGGGCCTATTCCCCTCACAGAGTGACGTCTTGGAACCCGCACTAGGAACGAAGTGATTGAAAATAACAATAAACACAAAACAAGACATATGGTAAGAAGTGATATGCTACGATGGAAATGAACTCTTTGAGTCACAAGGAACGCATCATATGTTCATAGTTTACTGCCTAGAAGCCCAATGAACGCATGATGTGCCTATTTTAGTCTTTTTTGACTACCCCTTGGGTTTGTGATGCTAAACCCTTTGGGACTCAAAGAGTTAAAAACATAACCAGACGTACATGAGAAAAGATAAGACAGAGAACTAGACAACACATACCAAGGCCCATGCAGGAGGCCATCTGGGTGAATGTCTCCGCTGTTGGCTTCAGAAGACCCAAAGTGGCAACAACACCAGTAGTGACTCCAATGATTCCTAGAGAATTGCCTGAAACACAAATACAGCTGTCTTAGTGGCCATGTCTGCTGAGTAATCTATATAGAAGAGTCATTGTTTGTTGAATTATGACAATCTATTACAAAGAACATGTTAGCAATGATGCTGATAAGTAGAATATCACGTCCTGTGGTAATTCTAAGGGTTGTAATATTAAGGGTTTTTGTGTTGCGTTATGCTGTAATCACAGTCGGTGTCACTGCACACTGGGCATTACCATACACACTCAGTTCTGCGATGCAGCAGCCACTACAAGGAACCTTTACTTACTGTTTCGATGGTTACAGTGTGTTTTGCCTTGACCCCAAAGATGGCACAGATGTGCTTCACTAAGCTTTATTGCCAGGTCATGCAATCGTGTAAGCTCAGAAATTTAAAATGATCCCCATGACCTAGTCCATACAGTGTTGATCATATCAGCTTCTTCCCATTTGCACTGCTGCATTACTTGCCAGCTGGTCGGCTCTTTCATTACCTTGTATTCCAGAAGGCAAAAGTGTGTAGATCCAGATGATGGCGGTTAACTGCGACCTCTGCCCATTCAGTTTCAAGTGCGCTGGATAAGAGTAGTAACACTGAAACAGAGACAGGGACCTCTCCTTGTATTATTCCAGAAGACAGCGGTGGTAGCCAATCTTCACTGAGGACATGGTACTCAATGTTTCTTTTGTTTTAAACTGTGCTGGTTAACGATTGTGTTATGGTGTGGATTAACTGTGTTCAGGTAATTGTTTATTTTGTCAATGGTTAAACTGACCTATGTTATGATCCCTGTGTAATGGAGGAGGGGAAGGAGAAGAAGACTGACTGCGGAAGAAAAAATATAAGAAATGAATAAAATGTCAGATCAAAATGAAGTCATTAAATGAGAATATTAATGGAAGCTAAAAAATCCAGAGGTGGTAACTGATGAGTCCTTACTGTCGGTATTTACCGTATGGTGGTGTAAGACAGGTGATTGTGAGTGGGGATTTAGGACCGCAGGTGATGAGAGTGACACCTCTAAGGCTAGCTTCCTGATGATGATGATGATGATGATGACGACGACGATAATGATGCTGATGTTTGCTAATAAACATGACAATGATAATTTTTACTTACCAAGTCTAGAGGTGGCTTGTGATGACAGTCCGGACAAAGCACCGACGCAGCACAGCGAGGCGGCCAGGTAAGCCATCTGATGAATGTCAGGGTAGGCTCCGGTTGGAGGCACAGTAACCGTAGCCAGATAAGAAGACTCCGGCTGGGATGGCGTACAGGTAGGTGTACTCTGGGGGATCCGCTAAATAAGGCAACCAACCAGGATACAGTCAGGTTCTAGCAAACCGTTCCCCAAAATGTATTTTATCTACTGATTATCTAAAATCAAATATATTAAGGAAGGAACCTTCTGATTCTTCACATTCACCGCTGTAAACTCAGGTGGAATGTCCTGATTATTTTCCCACCTCTAGACTCTGATCTCGTTCCAAGACCTGAGTGTTGCATGCACATCTATTTGACAGATCTAGCTTAATTTGTTTGCAGTCTTGGTTCCTTGCTTCTCAGGCAGATGTACTCCAACTGTGAAAGACAAGTAAAAAATGTCTGTGTTGGCAAGGCTTCCAGTTGGGAACCTGCTTCTAGGAATACTGCTGAAAGGTGTCGATAGGTCTTGCCAAGTTTCAGCTGCTGTTCCTTGTGCACCCAACAGGTGTGGCGATCTACCTACAAGGCTTAAGGTATATTATCTCACTTCAACTGCTACTGACTGGCACAAAGGGAGTGGGGAGAGGAAACGTCCCCTGTCCGTAGTTAAACTGTGATTGAAATATCTTTTGGAGTTGAGTGAGATGCGAAAATCCCATTACTATCACAGGATGGAGATGGAGAGGCCATTGGTGATGGAACCTGGGGACTCGGGTATCTTAATGCCACCCCCATCCCCCCCCCCCCCCAACATGGTCAGCATATTTTTTTACCTCTCTCTGTTATCTTCCCCTATCCCCTTAATCTACTTCATCCCTCAAATTAAAAATGTTCTCTTACTTCTGTTTGTAGGTGTGTATGTGTGCATCAGAGAGAGAGAGAGAGAGAGTGACAGAGAGAGAGGGTGAGAGCAAGACAGATATGAAAAAACCTCAAGGAGGAGAGAGAAAACTGAAGAGAGATAACTGCACAGAGAGAGAGGAGAAGAGAGAGAGAAAGAGAGAGAGAGAGAGAGAGAGAGAGAGAGAGAGAGAGAGAGAGAGAGAAAGAGAGAGAGAGAGAGAAGAAATATAAATCAAAGAAGACTGGATAAAGCTGTCACTGACTTGGTCTTTTGAACATGTCCAACATCCTCTTGGTGACCACAAAACCACCTCCGATGTTGATGGAAGAGATAAACGCTGCCAGGGCGGCCAAAGTCTGCAATGGAAACAGTTTTCTGCAACTGTGACATGATGTCTACGCGTACGATTCTATGTGATGCTCTACACGTATGATCCTATGTTGATGTCAACACAGAAACATGTGGTTTCTTTTTCATATAGACAGAACAAGTATGGGCATGGGAGGGGGACATCAGTTAGAAAGAAAGTGGTTAAAGAGGGCTACGAGTGTTTGAAAATAAATGAGTCATGGAAAGAAGTGTCAGATGGAGACTGGAGTAAGGAGATGGAGAAAGGTGGGAGAAGACAAAGAAATAAGAAAAAAGTAGGAAGGGAAAAAGAGAGGGATGATGGAGAGAGAGAGACACAGAGGGGGAATGGAGGAGGGAGACAGAGAAATAGAAAGGGAGATACAAAGGAAGAGAGAAAAAATAAGCAAACAAGCAAATTTTATTTTCAGAGTCACAAACTGGGCACGCAGGCCTGTCTTACATTCAGCCCTTCCAAAAATTAATCTTTCACATAGCAATACCATTTTCTGAGACAGAGAGAAGGGGATAGAGAGGGAAAGGAGAGACGGATGGGGGTAGACAGACATGGAGAGAAACAGAGAGAGAGAGAGAGAGAGAGAGAGAACGAACAAACTTTCTTTGTAAAGGGTCACAAACTGGAAATGCAAGAAACAGATATATATATATATAGGAGAGAGAGAAAACAGCGAGAGGAAGAGAGATATACAGAGAAAGAGCAAGATAGAGAGAGAGAGATACAGAGACAGAAAGAGATACAGCTAGAGGGAGATAGAGAGATAGAGGTGCATACAAAGAGGAGATAACAGAGAGACACACAGAGACAGATTCAGAGAGAGAGAGAGAGAGAGAGAGAGCGTGGTTGACAGATGAACAATGACACACCTCAATTGTGTTTGTTGGGTAGTAGCCGCCACCCATCAGGAGCAGCCCTCCCACAGCAGTGATCCCTGAGATGGCATTGGTCACCGACATCAGAGGAGAGTGCAGGGATGGAGTGACACCCCACACGGTGTGGTAACCTAGACACAATCAACAATTCAATGTTCAGATATAGTGTTGTCCCAAAATGAACATACTTTTCACTGGTATGAAATAAAGGATGTTAAAAATGGGTCATTCATGAACCAGTTGGGTTTCCCTAAAAAAAATTCTTTAAAAAAACAACTACAGTCGAAAATTAGGATATAAGTTTACCTGAATAGGAGGTCAGGTTCACTTTTTCTTTCTTTCCCAGAATTTAATGCAAAAACCAGGATGTGAGCTGGAGAGACGAGAACTTTCGCCATTATAGTAAATTCAACATTCTTGAAAGACTGCTTCCTTTTTGTCTGTCCATCCTCCCCACGTGGGTTCCGGGGCCACATTGTGGGGCAAAACAAGAATACACCCACCGTGTCCCCAACAAGCATGGCGTAGGAGTCAAAGTAAGGGTGCATCTGCCTGAGAGGCAAGGAATCAAGTCTGCATACAAATAAGCCAGATATGTAAAACGGATATGCATGCGGCAGTCCGGTTCTGCAACACGACTAAAGTCCAGAGGAAGAAAAGCAACCAGAACTTTCCCCTGGAGTTTACATTTACAGCCAGTGAACGCAAAGAAGAAGTCTGTCCATCCATATAATCCACGCACTACCCTCAAAAAACACCATTCTGCTGATACAAGACGCCAGTTTCCTGGCAAGTGTGATTACAGTCAGTCCACAGACATTCTCGATACAGGTTCTATCAGGCAGCACCTGACACATAAAGACAGAACAAATCAGTTGTCTGGTGTGAATGTAATGGTTCTTATCGCCGCTTACACTTTGAGCTGCCAAAGAAACATTCTTTAACTGTTTACTACAATTTGTTACAAATATGCCCCTTGGTTTATACCTTGAACGTAGCAAAAAAAAAAAGTCCGCTGCATGCTTACGCCTCTCATTCAGAAACTAATGTGTGGAAGCTACCAGTTACTATTAATACAATGCTAGATGTGCATGCATGAGGAAAATATAATTTGATACCCTCTCCAGTGTAATCATAACTTGTTAACACTTACACATGTGAATTCATCTCGCCTGTCATTGGAACGAACAAACCGTACCACCAATATATCACACTACTAACAAAAATGCATTAGAAAACTCACACTGCAAAGTTTAATAAATATCTCAAAGTTTAACAACTTAATTTTACAGACACTAAACCCTGCACTTGTGTTCACATTCAACAAGTATACTCGGACAATAATTAAATCATGATGATCCCGTGGCCGAACTTGAACTTCCAGTGGGGAAATGTACAGCCAAACTGGACAATGACAAAGTGGTTTTGTATTTCAGCAAGAAAAGGGTTCACTTTCGTGTTTCATTATATGTTGATTTAACTTTGTAGCAATACATCTGACAAGACACAACACAATATGCCTGGCATTAAACTGTGCAATGTATTATCTGTATCCGCATTAGTTACATTCACTAACTAAGGGAAAACACAGTTTTGAATGATAATGTATTTGAAGAAGGACAAAACCAACATAAAGCAACTCACCCACAATTCCAGCCAGACCAAACACGTTGACCATGGATGTGAAGGCAGAGTTTGGTGAGATGACTCCCAGACCTACAGAGAAACACATGCACCACAGTCAGCATTCATGTGCAACGCTGATTTAATGGATACGTTCTAAAATTGTACAATATATTCTGGAGAAGAATATTTCTAACCTTCTTCTTCTACCTTCTATCCCCCAATGGAGCATAGATCCTCAACCAGCTCATGCCAGGTTGCTCAATCCTTCAATACTGCATGCAGCTGACCCCATGGCTTCCCCGCCTTTTCTACTTCACTCTCTAGCTCCGTGTGACTTGGCCGGCTTTGATTTCCATGTCCCTGTGGGTTCCAGGGCAAAGACATTCTAGTTATACTGTTCTCATTTTGTGTGTGCCCGCAATGCCAGCATCCTTTCCTCATCTCTTGGTCCACTGGAACTTGTCTGGCTCTTCCCCCAAAGACCAAGACCAGCGATTCCATTTATAACTTGATTAATAAAACATGTGAGATAGATCAAGAGTTGAGCATCAGAGAGAGGCATGTTGAATACTTGTGAGATAGATCAAGAGTTGAGCATCAGAGAGAGGCATGTTGAATACATGTGAGATAGATCAACAGTTGAGCAACAGAGAGAGGCATGTTGAATACATGTGAGATAGATCAAGAGTTGAGCAACAGAGAGAGGCATGTTGAATACATGTGAGATAGGATCAAGAGTTGAGCATCAGAGAGAGGCATGTTGAATACATGTGAGAGATCAAGAGTTGAGCATCAGAGAGAGGCATGTTGAATACATGTGAGATAGATCAAGAGTTGAGCAACAGAGAGAGGCATGTTGAATACATGTGAGATAGGGTCAAGAGTTGAGCATCAGAGAGAGACATGTTGAATACATGTGAGATAGATCAAGAGTTGAGCATCAGAGAGGGGCATGTTGAATACATGTGAGATAGGATCAAGAGTTGAGCAACAGAGAGAGGCATGTTGAATACATGTGAGATAGGATCAAGAGTTGAGCAACAGAGAGAGGCATGTTGAATACTTGTGAGATAGGATCAAGAGCTGAGCAACAGAGAGAGGCATGTTGAATACTTGTGAGATAGGATCAAGAGTTGAGCATCAGAGAGAGGCATGTTGAATACTTGTGAGATAGGATCAAGAGTTGAGCATCAGAGAGAGGCATGTTGAATACATGTGAGATAGGATCGAGCAACAGAGAGAGGCATGTTGAATACATGTGAGATAGGATCAAGAGGAGCAACAGAGAGAGGCATGTTGAATACATGTGAGATAGATCAAGAGTTGAGCATCAGAGAGAGGCATGTTGAATACATGTGAGATAGATCAAGAGTTGAGCATCAGAGAGGGGCATGTTGAATACTTGTGAGATAGGATCAAGAGTTGAGCAACAGAGAGAGGCATGTTGAATACATGTGAGATAGGATCAAGAGTTGAGCAACAGAGAGAGGCATGTTGAATACATGTGAGATAGATCAACAGTTGAGCAACAGAGAGAGGCATGTTGAATACATGTGAGATAGATCAAGAGTTGAGCAACAGAGAGAGGCATGTTGAATACATGTGAGATAGATCAAGAGCTGAGCAACAGAGAAAAAGCATATTAACTACATGGGATGGCAGTCATGGTCCTGAAAGTCTCTGCTCTAATATTCCCACGCCTGCCTATAGCACTATCGTCTAAAAAGACAAGAGAGGTACTCTGAAAAAAATTGTAAGACTGTGAATGAGAAGACAGTAAAAGAAAAAAGTAGGCATGCCTTTCAACTACAGTTCAACTACTTCCAGCATGACGATGGAGACAGCATTAGTCACATGGGCATTTGCATGGCTGGTGGACTAGAAAGCAACTCAAGCACTGATAGTGAGAGACTTGATGAGGATGCTCAAGAAGACCCAAACGAGCAAACTGTACCTAAAATGAGTTGACAGTATCGAGAAGTCTCGGCTCAGGAAACTATCTTGGCAGTACACACGGGGACATAGTTGTTACTTGTTGTCCGTATCAACACCCTAGAACATTGGTCTGAAACATTCGTGCTCCGTCCTCTGATGCAAGAGCCATCTCGTGAATGATATAATGCATGTGCTGCATTCTAGAGACTTTGAGACAAAGGAGTCAGAGACGACAAACCACCTGTTGGAAATGGCCATGACAAGGACAAGCATGCAGACACTGGCTGTGGGGCAAAGAAGATTTGCCAATCAAATGTATTGGCTCTGCACTTATGGAGCCTCTCTGCTTGGTGGGGAATGGATATGCTACTGCCTTCTCTTGAGGGCCGACCAGCTTAGGTGACTGCTCTGGACCAACCTGATGGTGGGCACCCGTGTGAACTAAGAAACAAAGATGACCACACAACAATGAAACTGTAACATCCCACAAAACTAACTGGGAAGGCTAACTTGGGTAACACATACCTGCAGAATGTGGTTGTGTTGGCCGAAAGGCGCAATTATCACAGAAATATTGTAAGTTGGCACAATGCATTAACATCTTCGGACAAACACAGAAGAAACAGAAGGTACAATGAAAAGGTGTGGAAAAGGATCCTTTATTGTTTAGCCCAAGATGGACTATAAACAAAATAAAATATTGTACTAAATGCAAATTTAAAAGTAAAAGGTAAACAAGAGACTCACCAATCATTGTAGACAGGCCAGCTGTGTACATGAGAGAATCCTTCATGGTGTTCAGAAAATAGTTGGGAGGTGGTGGAGGTTCTTTAACAACTTGCTTAGTGGTAGGAGGAGGGGCACCAGGTTCCACTTTAGGACGTGGAGGAGGCCACAGCAGGTTTCCCTGGCGATAAAACAGATGACAATAGAAAATTAGGTTCTCTTCGGCACAAAATGTTATTTCAACCTGAAAACCATTTGAATCGTTATGTCTGGCAATAATATGACATTTATTGTCCTGTTGTTGTGACACTAAGAGTCCCACGGAGCAGTCGATTTCTCCTGTGTGCCATCACCTTGACATCTTGGATGGACGGAATCCAGTCCAGCAGCTTTGGCCTCTCTTATTAACATTGGTTCCTCAATCCACCTATTTCCCATTTCAGTGCCTCATTGGAGATTTTCTGTTCGTCTATTCTCACAATGTGACCAATACAGGGCCATCTTCTCTGTATTAAATCTGTTGACACAAGTTATAACAGTTTTAAACAGTTAACAACCAGTTAGAAGATGTAAATTAGGAAATCAAAAAAATGAAGGTGGAGGTGGAATGGACACGTGATCAGAATGAAGAAAGAGAGACGGCCGAGACAGGCAATGGACACGTGATCAGAATGAAGAAAGAGAGACGGCCGAGACAGGCAATGGACACCACAAGGACAGAGAGGAAGAGGCAGGCTCAGAGGCACTTGGAGGCGAACCAGTGAAGCTGAACTCAAGACTACCTGAAGGACAAAACAGGAGATAGAGAGGATAAAACTGAGTGGTGACAGTTTGTCTCTGCCTTATGTGCCTCTGGGTGCGATTAAGACTGATAGGTTAAGTGCAATGGTTCTCAACTAGATAAGACTGGGGACCATTCTTTTTTAGGATGGTCTGCCATGGACATCATAATTTTATTTAATTGTAAAACTGAAGACGAAAAGCAGCTGCTGGGAGACTCTTCCAGGCCATAAACCGAGGGTTTCTTAGCAAAAGAGAAATTGGCAAGAGGACGAAAATGGCTGTTTACCGCTCTACCTATGTACCAGTCCTGACCTATGGGTGTGAGTCATGGGCAATGACAACAGCTCACAGAAGCCAGCTGCAGGCCTCGGGAATGAGATACCTGAGAAAGGTGGTCCAAGTGACAAGAAGGGACAAAGTCCGCAATCAGACAATACGTCAAGATCTTGATACCCAGCCCTTACTAACCCGAGTAGATCAGTCACAGTTACGATGGTTTGGACATGTATGCAGAATGGGAGAAAATCGGCCACCATGGCAAGCATGGGGGGCTTAGAACCAGGGAACCAGACCTCCGGGACGACCCAGGGTGTGCTGGGAAGACAACATCCGACAGTCCCTAACTGACAGAGGACTGGAATGGAACAAAGCCAGAAAGAAAACTGCGGATAGAGACGTCTGGCGATCTCTCTGGCAAACCTCTACACCCCAAAGTAGAAGAGGAGCGACTAAGTGAGTAAAACTGAAGAACTTGTCACAAGTTATAATTATTAGAATGGCAAAAAAACTGCATTCTTAAGCTGGGGTTTTATGTAAATGATATCATGGACCAATAAATGGGACAGAGTAAAATGTAGTATTTGTTTTTATAACTTGGAAAAAATATCTGAAGGTACAAGGGAACACAGGTGCAGATGGAAATGACAACCAAACAAATTACTCTACAAAAGAAAAAGAAACTCTTCAGTCAAAATGACATTGTCAATACAAGTCCACATGGGGTAAAGAGGAAGGGGGGGGGGGGGGGTATAGAAGAACAAAGACATGAAAATACAATCTCCTACAACAAAATTCAAAGATGACAAGATGGTTTACAGTTGCCTTCAGCACGACTGACAATGCTCAGATAAGACAATAAATTAGCTAACTTGGTCATATTCATTACCATGATTCCCTGTCAAAAACTACTCCCCTGGTTTCAGTTAAAGCAAGCAGTAGAGAAACAGAATTAAAAACACAAAAATTATCTGATTATATTACAATGCATTAAGCTTTAGCTTATCACTCACTGTATTCTCTGCAGCAAAAATAAGTTTGTGAACAATTATATCAATTAAATAAAAAAACGTAAAAGAACATTAGTACCTTTGAAAATTAGATGTCTGAGGAAGGCTTGAAAAGTGATCAGAAGAGATAAAATCAGAAATGAGATCAAAAGAGAACAAATGTCAGCACAGAACCAATCCTGAATTACATTCAAAGACATTTGTGACACCATACATAGCTAGGCATATAGCAAAAGAGGAGAAAGAGGAAGAAACAAGTTAGACCAAGAACAAGATAATAACATTAGAGGAACTCTACAACAGCACAATGTGTCTATGATCGAGGCGGCCTGAACTGCCAGAAGCAGAACCTCATATCTAGACACCTGAAATGGCAAAAGAGGAGGTGAAGAAGAAGAAGAATGCTATAGTACTGCCAAACTGTTCTTTTTCTTCTCCTTTTTTGTGTGTTGCTTTCTATTTTCCAATGAAGTATGGGTCCCCGAATTTTCATGACTGTTTATGATTTCAAAGCTAAAGTTTTCTACATGATGAAGTAGCCAGTTTCAGACCAACCCTCCTTAGTAGCCTCTTATCATATGCATCAAACAAGAGGGTTACTATTCTTCGCTTTTCGTAAGGTAATACATGAATCAGTCAAACTAACACATCTTACTAAAGTCAGATGGCACTAGATGTCGTTAACTACAAGCACACTGACAGATGTGACATTTATGTACTCACCTCTTGCAGAATGATGGATCCTCTGACCACTTCATCCTCAAGATTGACAAAGAAGTGATCCTTCTCTCCTGCATTATTATATATGTGTCAGTATTATTTGCAGGCTGCATGAGGGAGGCAGCACATTTAGAATACTTGCTTAGACTTTCTATACATATATTAAAATCATATTGCATTTAGGTAGTCCTACGGGTAAAATCCTAGAAGTCTGATAGAATATATCCACTGTGACTCCTAGTCCCTCTAGTTTTCTCTCTCTCTAAAATGATAAATCCTAGCCACTAACAAATATTTACAGCGTGTGTGATCCTGATACATTCTTAGTTGGATCCTTGATGATGCTACAGAGTCTGTGTACCAATTAACTGCACTTCCCCTTAACTCTACCAGACCTGGGGCCCTGAACCTAACTGTCCCCTATACTTGGGCTCCTGGGTATTAAAGCAAAAAACCAATATGATATATACAGATATTAGTTACATGCAAATAAGGTGCTAGATTAAGATGAAATGAGGAGACATTGCAGAAAACCAGTTTACCTTTCATCATTGAAACTCAGATCTGTATTTGGTGATATAAAATTCCTTGTCAAACCTTCATCACCATCTAGATCTCGTCCATCAGTTGTCTTCTCTTACTCCCCTTCTCTTACTATCAATCTAGGTCTAGATCTATAAGGTCACGAGATACTCATCATCATGCGAGCTCTTAGTCTGTGTCACTTGAACTGGAAACATATTTTGCTGAAATTATGACTCCCAGAGTCTGAATCAACCAAAGTATCGATCATCTGTTAGACTGTTTAAAGCCTAGAGCTACTTTGCTTTCCTGTTGAAGTGCTTGGTTCATCAGCCGCTTGTTTCATTGTGAATTTTCAGAATGTTTTCACATTAAACCACACAAAGTCAATCCAAACAGATTTGGGCAGACATATGCAATGACTAACCACGAGGTTTGACCACAGTTGGTTGGCTATTTTTAGTCTGTAACGCAGTAGGCAAAGTCAAATTTAAACATGCCAACCTGTCAACCTCTACAAATGTCAAGGTACATTTCAAGTCCCTGTCTTATCATGATGTCTTAGCTGATAATAAGCCTAAAGTAATTCCTTCTTCTTCATGTTTATCGGCTGTAAACTCCAGCAGAAAGTTATGGTTGTTCGTCCACTTCTGGACTGTAGTGCTGTTCCAGAATCTTGAGTCTTGTGTGCAAATCTACTTTACAGATATGACTCATTTGTATGCAGACTGCTGGTTCCTTACCTCAGGTAGATGCTTCTGGGTAGGCAGTGGGTCTATTCTTGTTTCCCCTTTAATAGGGCCCCTAAATCCACACAAGGAATTTCAGTTAATGAGAAACAACAATGTCTATGAGCCAGTTTCTTTTGATATTCAGATGATTAACTCTTTGAGTCCCAAGGAGCGCATGATAAGTTCCTACTTAGACGCCCAGTAAACGCAAGATGCGCCGATTTTACGTCTCTCTTTACTACTCCTTGGGCAAGGGATGCTAAACCCTTTGGGACTTAAAAGAGTTTAGAAAAACATCTAGTACCTATTTTACAATACATGGGCTGACTCCAGTTGCAAAATAGAAAAAGAAAACCTGCACTAATAAGGAATTCAACTCATGACCACTGACCAGGTGACCAATAATCTGGGTTCTCTGAGAACTTTGTCCTTGAAACTATTAAAATGCATTACAACAATCCACACACAGGTGTGACCATATGGTACTACGAGCATAACAAAGACACACACAAACAAGAGACTCACCAAACGATAAAAGCAACTTGCTGATGTTGTTAGCATACAGCGTGGATGACTGAGTTGGCAGTCGAGATGGAAGATCTGTGTATCCGATGTGGGTGACTTCCTTGTGCACATACAACTCTCCTGGTTTGGTGGTCTCCACATTGCCTCCAGCCTCAGCAGCCAAATCAACAATAACCGAGCCTGGTTTCATGCTTTCAACCATTTCCTGGACACACAAGGGTTACATAACTACAAAGGAAAGTGAACTGATTACAATAGTCCCAAACTTCCCAAGTTACAATAGTCTCAAACTGAGGCTACGATGGTCACAAAGTTATAACAATAGTCTCAAACTGAGGCTATGATAGTCACAAAGTTATAACAATGGTCTCAAACTGAGGCTACGATAGTCACAAAGTTACAACAATACTCAAAGAGCTATAGTTTCAAACTGTGGCTATAATACTCTCTAATTACAACATTAATCCTAAGCTGTGGCTACCAGTCATTAAGCTACAGCATTAATTCCAAACTGTGGCCACTAAGCTACAACATTAGCTACAAACTGTGGCTATAACAGTCACTAAGCTACACCATTAGCTCCAAACTGTGGCCATAACAGTCACTAAGCTACAACATTAGCTCCAAACTGTGGCCACTAAGCTACAACATTAGCTCCAAACTGTGGCTATAACAGTCACTAAGCTACAACATTAGCTCCATAATGTGGCTATAATACTTCCTAAATTCTATGGCAACATGTTTCTGAGTGGTAACAATATCTCAATTATGGCCTTTACTAAAGTCCCTAAATGTGGAAACAATAATCACTAAAAGGCCATATGTTTCTTAAATCCCTTTCTTTCTCATAATACAACAAATATTTTAGAGAGTAAATAAACATATACCATACCTTTGATATCAATTTTGGTGCAGGCCTGCCTGGAATGAGGGCGGTAGTAATGAGAATATCAATCTCCTTGCATTGTTTGGCAAATAGCGCCATTTCTGCTGCTATGAATTCTGGGGACATTTCTTTGGCATAACCTCCAGTACCCTCTCCAGACTCCTGTCAATTGAAAAAAAAAAAAAAAATCACAGAAACTAGCACAAGAATTTATATGGTTTCACTGGCATTAAATTAAGTCACAAGAATGATAAGTTGAGAATGTTATGTTAAAGTTGAAAAACAATGGACACAAAAAATATCCATTAAAGACACATTTATTTGGGGAATATTTGGTCCAACACATTCCATTGCCATCCACAAAGCGAGTGTGTGCAAAGTGTAAGCACTATAACTTATCGGGAAATAGCATAAAAATTGGAAGCAAAATCTTACCCAGAATAACAAACTAAACTGAAATTAATAAAAGCTTATAAAAGACAGTTGAAAAGTGACAGTTGGCGAGCCTACAAATGGAGTATCATGTATGGCCTCTGTATTTATGAAGCTTTTTAGTAAGTAAAGAAAGAAAACAACACTTTTCATGGAAGTGGCACAGGGGGCATGTGATACTTGACAGATCTGTACAGATCAGTCGGCACGCAATGTGTGATGGGGCTTAGTTTGGGTCAATCTGAGAGCCACGGCCACTTAAAAGAAACATATGACTTGATGCAGATTTAAACCTAAGACCTTTGGGCTGGCAGCTGAGCTCATAGCTCCTGTGGCTCTCTTTTTCTTCTTCTCAGGGTTCAGCAGCTGTAATCTCTGTAAGAAAGTTCTTGTGGTTCGTCCACTTCTGAACTTTAGTCTTGTTCTAGAACTTGAATTCTGTCTGTACATTAAGCATAAGATTTATGACTTTAAAAGTGGCTTGTGCAAATGAACAAACAAACAAAAGCAAACTTAATAAAAGCTTATTAAAAACACAAACCTTTAAGGTCACTTCCAAGAATTCCGCACCAAAAGATTCCACCTGCTCCTTAACAGCTGACCTGGTGTCAAAGCCCCGAACAATGGCTCCCATGCTTTTTGCTGTTCCAATGGCTGAGAGACCGGCGACTCCACCACCAATTACGAGGACTTTTGCTGGAGGCACCTTACCTGCAGCAGTAATCTGGCCTGTCGAGAAATGAGATGCAAATTTAAAAAGATAAAATTATCAATAAACCACTTGTCCTATGTGCATCACTTCAAGTGGTATACAGCATCAAGTGCCTTGCTGACTGGCAGGTAAAAACTCATGATATTAGGCATATATACTTGAAATCAAAGTAACAGACACACACACAGAGAGAGAGAGAGAGAGAGAGAGAGAGAGAGAGAGAGAGAGAGAGAGAGAGAGAGAGAGAGAGAGAGAGAGAGAGAGAGAGAGGGGGGGGAGAGGTAGAGAGAGAGAATGAGAGACAGACAGAGAGAAGACATTATATGAGAGATTGTGAGATAGGGGCGGAGAGACTGGCAGGAAAAAAGATGCAGAGAATATGAGACGTAGACAGAGACAGAGAGAGAGGCAGACAAATAGACAGAAAGACATGCACACATTAACTGCATAATTCTTTGGTTGCATTCTGACAGGCTTAATTTCATAATGACTCTCAAGTGTCAACTTTTTAATGCCATATGTTCGGATTAGAAACAAATTTCATTTTTTTAAAAAGAATTTTCACTACAGCATTTTAAACATCAATTACTGGCACGAATAATGATAAGACATGACCAAATAAATTGTTTATGATCAAACAGTGTAAACATACCTGTGAAAAATCTGCCAAAGTTATTAGCGGCCTCAATGACAGCTTTGTACCCAGCGATGTTGGCCATGGAACTGAGAGCATCAAACACCTGAGCTCTGGAGATCCGAGGCACACAGTCCATGGCAAACACAGTCAGCTGCTTCTTGGCCAACAAGTCCACCAGATCTTTGTTTTGTGCTGGGTACAGGAAGGAGATGAGGGTGCCTTTTTCTCTAAAGTTAGCTACTTCTTCCTGCAACGGAGCTCGGACCTACCAAGAGCAAACACACGGTTCAGTTTCAAAAAACATGAAACTAGACATACTTTACTGCCAGAATTTATCTTTTTTTTTCTTTTTTTTTTTCAAGAATACAGGAGTCGTGAGCCTGAGGAGTATGGCTGCATGGCTAGTGTAGTCGTCCTGATTTATACAAGTTGAGATTTTTTTTCTAATCCAGAGAAACAATTCCTACTACCTCACGAAATAAAGTTAAGGATTTTTTTCTTGTCTTCAGGCAAAAAGGCATTCAGAGCTAGACATATTTTAAAGACCAGCCGGTACTCACTGGGTGATGTGGTGAACATCACGCCTGTCGCCTTTACTTCCCAGGACTTTGCCTTGTACCCACTAAAGGCTGGGTCAACCTGGGAACCAAGGTCATTTCTGAAAATTCCTGTGTGGGTTCCGGGGACCTGTTAAAGGGAAAACAAGAATAGACCCACTGCCTACCAAAAAGCATGTTGTAAGAGTCAACTAATTGGGAGCTTCCTTCAAGTCGAAGTGCATCTGCCTGAGAGGCAAGGAACCAACAGTCTGCATACAAATTAGTTAAATCTGTCAAATGGATGCACATGCAACACTCAGGTTCTGGAACAGGACTGCAGTCCAGAAGTGGACGAACAGCTAGAACTTTCTGCCAGAGTTTACAGCTGGTGAACGTGAAAAACGAAGAAGAAGAAGCAGATTTCTAAAAAAAAAAAAAAGTCAGGTTTTGTCAGGACATGAACCCACAACCTTTGAATCTGCAGGCGAGTGTCTAGCTGCTATGCCACGGCAGCTCCTTCCCATCACTTTATTGATTCAAACAGTGACCTCAATAATTAGATTTGAGTAGCTTTGTCTTTTTTTTTTTTGATACAGCTCCTTCCTCCTGTCCAGGTCATGCTGTATTGATGGAAAAATAGAATCCTGCAACTGGTGAAGATTTCAACCCAGACAACCGCCTTGGATAGCAAGCACTTTAATCACTTTGTCACCAAGAGTCTTATTAAGCATAGAGACTGCTTTAAAAAAATAAAAAAAAGATTTTTTTTTAAACTAAAGAAACTTATATTAACTGAACTTTTGTTCTTTACCTTTAGGATAATATCAGACTTATAGATAATTAACTGAACTTTTGTTTACCTTTAGAATAATGTCACTTATAGATAATTATCTGAACTTTTGTTTACCTTTAGGATAATGTCAGACTTATAGATAATTAACCTAACTGTTGTTTACCTTTAGGATAATGTCAGACTTATAGATGTCATTCTTTCCTCTGACATGAGCTCCGGCTGCTGCATATTCATCATTAATGAACTTGGCCTCGTAGCCAGCGTTTTCTTCCACGTTTACAGTAAAGCCTTTCTTTGTCAAGGTCTGAACAGCAGATGGTACTAAGGCCACCCGACGCTCATTCTGCATTAGAACAACAACAAAATCATAAAGCTTAAAATTCCATGCAATATAAAATTACTAAATCATATAAGCAACTTTATTAACTTAATGTTTAAACTTTAACTATTTGAAACAATGGTTTTCAATCATTCTCTTGTTTGCCTCCTCCCCCCCCCCCCCCCCCCCCCAAAAAAAAAATTTGGTTTTTAAATTTTAAATTTCTAATTAAAACAGAAACAAATTTGATAGAATAACAGATTATTATGAGTTCAAATAAGCTCAATTTCAAAACTGATGCCCCCCACCTCTCCAGGCACCCTACAGTTTGAAAACCATTGGTTTAAATAATAACTAGAACGCAGTGTAGGGAGCCACAGTTATATAGTGCTAGCTTGCTTGTCAATTTGAAGGTACTGGGTTCGAATCCTCAACAAGACAAGATTTGTTTTTCAAAAGTGACCTTGGCTCCTATGTCGACTCAGCCTTAAATAGGTAGCAGGTGATATCCTGGGAAGTAAAGGCAGCCTGCATGATGCTGACCACATCTCCCAGAGAGTGCCAATGTAGAGTCTTTCACCATATGCCCAATTCATCACTGGCGTAACAAGGATCATTTACTTCTTTCTGCTAACTAGAAGACACTGGTCAGGTAACATCTGAGACAAAGAGCAAGAAAAGGTTAAAATAATCGTTAGGCCAGTGTGCATGCAACAACTAAGGTTGAAAGCAATCCTCAGGACACAGTGAGTTAAGGCAGGAATTCACAGGAACGGAAATTGTTCATATATAGATAGGAAATAATGAGTTTATGCAACATCATCAGCATGATGCGCTGTGCGGATAAGGGAAGGCTACTATTTTTTGCCGTCTCACATGATCAACAGAATCACGGATTAGATCTGTGGTTTTCTCTTGCCCCAATCATCCAAGTATTTATCTCTTGGCCTTCCCCTTGCTCTTTTCCCTTCAATCTTGCCAGGTATCACCAAGTTTATGAGTCTATTTCTTTTAATAACATCTAATCTAACAACAAACTGAGATAACTGGCGCTTAAGAAGATAAAGCAAAGGCTGCACTCTGAATGGGTAGACAGCATTCAGAAGTCGCACTTAACCTCCCTCACCTAGATCTACATAACAGGGTATGTTGGAGTAAAATATTATGAATGAGTGGACCAGCTGATAAGTACTGCACTTCTGCATGTGGGAAGATGCATGGATATGGATCATATCATCAATGTTATATGGTAGAAAGTAACGAATCTCTGAGGTCAATACGATTGTATGAACTCAGAGTAAGCCAGGTGAAGCATGTTAGCGCCATTTTTGAGGTTAAAATAGGAGACTTCCAACTTCCCATGGGGAAACGTCAGAAGCACCATCTTGGGATGGCTGCAGAAGTGGAGGACTGAGCACATATGGGAATGCCCATTGTGCAGTGATGCCGACTATGATACAAAATATAACTTACAGTAAACAGTTCCTTGGGTACTCCAATAGAGAGGTTCTTGTAGGGAATCCCTGCGATGGTCTCTGTAGCCTTCTTCTCAGCCTGCTGGTACAGCTCTCCCACGGCAGTTCGCAGGCCACGGCTGCAGCGTGCGCTCAGTTTGTAGATATGGCTGCCCACTTCTGCCATAATGGCAGCTCTGTGTACCCGCAGCATCGTGCTGCGGAGAGCCTGACAGGGTTACTGTCACCTCTGGAAGAAATCTGAAATCAATATGAATTACTGGTTGAATCAAAATCAACAGCAAAGATCTCCAGGCAAACCCACAGGGGCTCAGTCTCTCTCAACAAATGGTGAAATATGGTTTGTTCTCAGCATATGTATATTCCATATTATATTTTCTTCTTCTTGTGCAGTTGACAAATTGTGTTACAGATTACAGTTAGACTGTGACATCTACACTTTTCACCCCGCTCCCCCCCCCCTCATCAAATTTCAACAAAACCCTAATCAGTCACCTTTTATGACTAGCTTGTCAGGGAACAGTGAGTCGATTTGTGCACCCCCCCCCCCCCCCCCCCCTCCAAAGGGTCCTAAAACCCACACCTGGAGATATTTATTCCAAGACACTCTCTCTCTTTCTCTCTCTCTCTCTCTCTTTCTCTCTCTCTTTCTCTCTCTCTCTTTCTCTCTCTCGTCTCTCCCAACATGTCTCAAATATTTTAGGAGGACAACACAGTGCACACTTTCTACACCAGCTATCAGGTTCAAATGTATTGAAGCACAGCTGATTATGCTTATACTCATGTAGTTTGTGATTACTGTTTTATTGTTGTATGAGATCGATTATTGATTGTACTAAATTACTTAGAATTAAATTACAGAAGACTGTGTATGGACTTTTTTAAGTGTTGCAGTCTCTTCTTTTAGACCCCATACCATCCGAAGTTGAGTGCATGTGCCTGACGAGAAAGGAAACAAATGTCTGAATACAAATACACCCCCTGTGTGGGTTCCGGGGCCCCATTGTGGGGAAAACAAGAATAGACCCACTGCCTCCCCAAAAGCATGTCGTAAGAGTTGACTAATTGGGGAGCTTCCTTTGAAGTCGGAGTGCATCTGCCGGAGAGACAAGGAACCAACAGTCTGTACTCAAGAGAATGAGATCTGTAAAAACTGATGCACACGTAACACTCAGGTTCTGGAGCAGGACTGCAGTTCAGTAGTGGACGAGAAACCAGAACTTTCCGCCAGAGGGTACAGCTGGTGAGCGCGAAGAAGAAGAAGAAGAAGAAGAAGAAGAAGAGGAAGAAGAAGAAGAAGACAAATAAGCCAGATCTGAAAAACAGATGTGCACAAAACCTCAAGTTCCGGAGCAACAACCAAAGTCCCGAAGTGGACGAATAACCAGATCTCTCCACTGAGTTTACCTCTGGTGAACGCAAAGAAGAAGATACCTTTGCAGTTTATGCTGATTATTTCTGTTCCTTATTCTGTTACCATTATGTTATATGAAGTTGGGTTTTGGTTGTGCTAAATTACTTACACTGCAATGGATTCTCTCAAAGTGTTGCAGTCTCTTCTTTTAAATCACATAATAAGAATCTAAGTATGGTGCAAAAACTCTGTAGCAGCAGCAAGAATGCCAGTATTTAAGCCAACAGAAGGTCAGATGCATGATCCATTACTCCAGGATCCATTAGTTGTACATTTGTTTCTTTGTGAAACAAGAATTTACATCACTGCATTTAGGACACTCATTTTTGTTCTGCACCTCTTCCCTCAATAGCCAACAAACAGTTCCTATACTGATGGTGCCAGATTCTATCTGATTAAAAGTGAAGTATTTTTTTTTACTGTGTTATTACTATTAACTCTGCTCTAGAACCTTCTCCATTATGATAAACCAGGGGCTCTTGAATTGTGTTGTACTTTCAGATTGTGTCATTATTGTGATGCTTCAAATGATGACCTCTTTGTAGTCTGTGCAGGATCAAGGATGTACCAGGTTACGTTTTCCACAGCAGGTGGTTCAGAAAAAGACATTCTCGTGGCCTTCAGAAAATGGTGGAAGAGTCGCACCCTGGAAAAGACTGGGGCCTCAACAAGTAATATTCTGCTGAGGAGATGGTGTACATTTTGCTGTGGAGATGGTGTACATTTTGCTGCGGAGATGGTGTACGTTTTGCTGTGGAGATGGTGTACGTTTTATTTATTTAATCTTTCTGTGAGGAGGAACAGATGGTCGAATGGTTAGCATGCTGGCTCTCATGCAGGATACCTGGGTTCAATCCTAGGTAAGGGATGGAATTTTTTTAATCAGGGGTAACAATAAAAACTCTAATCTGCACAGGTTGGGGTGACTGTACTAGCCATGAAGCCTTAAATCCTCAGGCCTAAGAACCCCGTCCTACACTGCCTTACAAGAGTAAATACAGGCAGTACAGTTTCCTCTGTGTTGATTTCCAGTGAAATACCTAACAACCTGTACCTAATTGTAGCTTATATGCCTCTCTTTTTCACTAGTCCCTTTCTGCCTTTCAGTGTCCTGTTCGAAGAGGTGTCAGACTCTGAAGAGGCGTCAGGTGAAAGCTTTTGTATGTGTTACGTAGGTGCTGGTATTTACAGGCTTTGATATTCCATCTACCCATCGCTTGCTTAGTCACTTCTAGCTATGCTTGTGTCTAAGTGACAGGGCTCTTTCTGGTGCTTGACACATGTCTAAACCATTTGTTCTGTTGTCTCTTGATGTAGTTTATTAGTATATATTTATATATATATACTGTGGTAAACCGTAATCTGCTTACATATTAATACATCTCTTAGAAAAGGTTCAGCCTGGTCTTGCACATCATTCTAGTTTCTGGGCTTGGAGAGGAAAGCAAACAGCTCGGCAACTATCCCCATGAAGATGTTACTTTAGTAACAGGTTATAAGGAAAGTCTCTATCTATACCTGTCTTACCTGTCTCATTTGGACAGATGCAAATCTTCAGAGCTGATGTGACCTGAATGCTAATGCCTTTGACTAAAATAGTCTTTCACTGAATTCACAGCCAACCAATTAACTCTTTGAGTTCCAGGGGGTTTAGCATCACAGGCCCAGTGGGTAATAAAGAGAGTCATAAAATCGGTGCATCATGCGTTTATTGGGCTTCTAGGTATGAACCTTTGAACGTATGATGCGTTCCTTGGGACTCAAAGAGTTAAGTTGCAGAATAAACCAAGATACAGGTGTAGTCTATCCACACAAATAAAAGATAAAAACTGCTGAACACATTCTTCGGAACAGCAAAGAAACAGATACTGAAACTAGCCAACTGAATTAACATTTCTCAACTCCCAACTGGAAACCCAAAAGTGATCGAGTTTATTCGCTTTCGAATTTAATCATGAAAGATGACATTAAAAGAAGACAACAAACTGGTATTGAAATCTGTAGCTTTAACTTTGACTTCGACACTTTTTAGGTCCCAAAACAAACAAAGACACATAGTCAATGGACCATAAATTCTAGAAAGTTGCAAGTTGGCAGATTAAGTTAATCTGCCAACTTGCAACTTTCTAGAATTTATGGTCCATTGACTCTGATATGGCACAGCAGAAAAGGGGGTGGGGAGGGAAGATAAGAAAAATATGTTTTCCAGCCCTTTTTAAGTGACGCACATATTCTAAACAGTGAACAAATATGTGAAGCTAACAGAGACAATGGAAGGGCAGTGATGCTATGATTGATTTAGGCAAGCGTCCTTCATCCTTATACGAACTTGGTGGACCCAGAGTCCACAAATGGGCAAACAAAAACAGCTGTAGCAGTAGTAATTTTTGCATCCAAAAAAATCCTCAATACACAGGGCTATAACAAGCTTAGGTATCCACTGAGTTTTCAGAGTATATTTTTGCTACTGTGTATTTTGTACAATGATTTCTGTCAGATAAGTGTGCATTTGATTTTGTATCACTATAAAAAATGAAACAGCCTACGTCAAGACAAGCAGGCAGGGGAGATCACGGCCACTGAACTCTGCATATCGCCTGCTAGAAACCGATACAACCACTCACTCTACAACTGTGAATTTCTACAGCATCGTCCTTTTCAAGCATATATATCGTATATTACCGAGTATATACTCACCTTCTTGATCAATTATGGTTGTAAAATGCGGGACAAGCAGACAGAAATTTACCAACAAGGACGCTTTCGTAGCCCCGAAATGTAGGTCCAGCCTTGTGAATGGCCGCCACAAATCACTAGCCAATCACTGATCGCCGTGATGTCACATGACTAGGGAACACTTCTGGGCTAGGCCCATTCGATTTTCTTTGAGGTAGCAAAGCCTTATTTTGATAACTATATTTAGCAACACCTCAAATAAATATAAAATAATTTAGCAATTTATAACACCATTGTAATGAAACACAAATAAAAATAAATTTAAAAAGTACTTTAATACTATAGTCTTTTAATTTCTTGCCAATATAGGGTAAATATTAGTGAACTTATATATAGGTTTACCTATGAAAAAGATGCTTGCTGTGTCCCATTCTTGTCCGCCTGGAAGCGCCCGGTCTGTTTCTGCTCGGTTCAACTTTCAGTCGACAACAAATTAACTATGGCCAAGTCACTGCAATCGCTTTCTAAGTTACTTGTAACGGTGGGCAGTAATGTCCAAGCGAAAACCTTTGCAGCCGCTGCAAGCGTACCCCAGACAAGAAACTGTGAGTAAACGAAACGTGGGCGTTAACTGTTTTGTATATACACAGTTTTGGTCGTCAGCTGTGAAGTTTTGTCACGTAGACAGCTCCGTAGCGTGTCCTGGAATGCCCCGCTTTGTTTTCATGTTTGACGAAATTTTTGCCTTTTTATGGGGATTCGTTGTAAACAAGACAGGAGTTGCAAAGACTAAACATTAAGCTGGCATTTAGCAGTTAATGTTGCAGTAATATGCAAGCATGCATATCCAGATATTGAAATGAACTATATAACCTAATTATAACCCAGATGGGTTGAACAGGTTATCGTTTAAATGACTGCTATTGCTTGCTGCTGCTAACTGTTGCAGAAATCATTACTTCAGAAGAACATAAACATTATAAAGTAAAAGTAAAGAACCGTTTTCCTCCAGCAACGAATCTGACGCTGCTCATATTTTAATAGACCTGATCTTGTCTTACCAAGGTTGAGTCGATCTGGAAACCAAGGTAATTTTTTTAAAAGGAAAAACTACGACTGGATACAGATTCGAACCTTATGGTCTTGATCTAGTCGCTCCCGTGCATTATGAAATATAGGCTTAAATGCTGACTGAATAACAAGAGCTAGAGGTGCTAAGTAGTGCTTGCTGTAATGAGAAAATATTTCAGGTTTGATCATTAGAACTTGGTTTTCTCCTATGGGTTCGGAACCCCTGTTGAGAGTAAAAATGAATGGGTCTGCTGCATCCTAACAATCATTATCATCATCAGACGCCTTGCCTACTGACGTGGGCGATCATGCCTCTCCATAATCTGCGATCTCCTGCAGCATGTATCAGTTCGTGTGCCGACACACCACCATGCCATGCAACAAGACTGTCAAGCATCTTCTCTCGTATCCTAACAAGCATGTCATAAAAGGCAACAAATTAGAAGTGTACCAATTTCAGATATGTTGGTCGAAGGACGCAGATATTTGCTGCCTAGCTGTAAACTTCAGTGAAACATTCCAGCCTCTGTTTTCAGGGCGGAGCAGAGGAGGAAGAAGAATTTGGTTCTTAGTGTTAGGCATTAGTTGGTGAGAAAGACTGTAATAATGCTCAGTCTAAGTTCTATTTGGGCACATTAACACTCTGATCTTCCCCCTCTTCAAGTGTTACATTAGTACAAACATAGTATACGAAGAGAATCTAACAACACGTATTGATCTGTTTATTGCTGATCCAACAAACATACTGTCCAAAGGCTCACTCATCATACAAGGGTCCAATCAGGAATACTGCTGTAGAAGCCTCACAACTCAATTCTAACTAATTGCCTTTCGGTCCATGCATCTCGTTCATGCTGACACTTGCATTTCCAATCTAGTCATCACAGAACCTTGCAGTCGTTGGTTGTTCACTTCTGATTCACACCGACACAGCCATGATTACTTGCGTCGCAGGAACTTTCACACATGTCGGCAGTCTCTGTTCATGGCAGTTGTTCCTCTCTATGCATTCGACCTCTCACACTGCTGTCAAAACACCAACTGACTCTATATCGTCTCTTCATTTAAGCGTTCGTTCCAATCCTGTACTCTGCTCTTGCAACAGTTCACAAAATATGGGACATTCTAAACATACCTTTTCCATGCGTCACTCGTTTTCCTGGCCTTCTGACCTTACCGTGTCATCTGGGAAACTCTCTGGGGTTCCCTGGGAATTCCCATCATTACAGGGACCGCAAGTGCAAGACTCGATTCTTTGCATGATACTGAAAATATTTCACAAGGTAAAACGGGTGGAATATTGCACTGCAAATCCTATGTGATGTGCAACAGACAAAAGGATAATAAATGAATAATGTAGGCTGCCACATTCATCCTTGTACACTTAATGGTCTAACAGTGTGCTGGGAGCTCTCGTGGTGTAGCGGCTGGATGCTTGCCTGCAGATCGGAAGGTCCTGGGTTCAGGTCACATTGGAGCCAGAATATTTTAAAAAAATGACTTTGGCTCCCAGGTCAACCCAACCTTAAATGGGTACCAGGTGCAGTCCTGGGAAATTCCTCTTCTTCTTCTTCTTTCGTTTGCTTGAAATAGATTGTCTGTATCTGCAATTTTGTCTCTAGTATGAACTTCACTGTCTTCTGTAATTCAGTCAGGGACCCGTATAGGACACAGTTGACTTCGCAGCCACATGTACACAAAATTTACAATCGGCAAATCAGCCATGTGCACATGTGGACTGGCACCTGAAACAACAGATCACGTCCTCCTAGACTGTCCCAGACACATCAAGGCAAAACTTTTGGCCAAGAGAAACACCGGTGCAAGTACTGGGAAATAAAGGCAGCCAGCATGATGTCGACCACATCATCCACTGAGTGTCATTTGGTCTATAAAATATAGGTCTAGCCCTATGTGCCCAGTACACCTGAAGGCATGGACAAGGATCCTACTGTGTGCTAGGACATGAACAGGAAGGAGCAGTGTGGTCAAGACCTTTTGAGAGCAAGTGAACAATGTGAAGACACAAATAGATCATTATAGTATGGAGACAATGCTATAGCTAGGAGTGACCAGGGGATCTCATTGACATTATAAAACTTCCTGGGAAGTAAAGATGTATAGAATTGACCACATCACTGGTTGATTGCCAGTCACTATAAAAATATGGGGTCAACAAGCTAAACCTAGTGTGCCTTATGGCATTAGAAAAAGGTGCACTGCAAGTGGCACTTTTAGGTGGTTAAATCGCTCAGTGTGCGGCCCTAGTGGGATTCAGCTTCACTCACAGAGGAAAATAGATAAATAAACGACACACACCCCCCCCCCCCCTCCCCCTACGCCCCTTTTTAAAAAAAGGAGTGGAGGACAGAATATGAGGGCACCGAAGGGGGATAATGAGAAATAAGGTGAGAGTAACAAAGAGAAGAAGCAGAAGAATAAAGTTTAGCTTGATAAGAGCAAAGATTGTGCAGAACTTGTTGTGACCTGATTTACAACTTTCTGACTCAGAGCAGAAGAGATAATGCCACAATCTGTTGCTGGTATTTTGTTGGACTGATTTTGTTGTCTGCTTTACACTGGTTTAAACTGAGACTCAAGATAAGGTTTCGGTTAAACTGACACACAGAATAAGTTTTTGAGAGAACTAGTGTCAGACATATCATGTTTCTATTTGGTTCTACACAGCAGATGTAAAATAGCATTGAGAGCTAAGCTGGCAAATATAATTGTTAAAATTACTGCAGTATACAGTAGGGTAGTCAGCGTCTGTGGTTTAGGCATTGGGAACGCGCTTTGTAATGCCGGGTTCGATCCCAGCTGCGGACCTTGCGTTGGTTTCGACAGCGGTATCGAGAAGCTGACCGTACAGAAAGCAATGGCAAACCACTGGACATAAATTTGCCTAGAAAAACCACAACAGATAAAGAAATGTTGGGATTGGTTCAGTGCAGTGAACAATAGAACAGTACAATAGATGATACTTCTGCTGCTACTACTAATGCTGTTAATATCATCATCTCTGGAAAGGCTATGCCGGTCAACAAATGCCCGCAAAAGTCTGATGAGTTGGCCGAAAGGTGTAAATATTGCAGCTATGTTGTAAACGGATACAATGCAATTAGATCTTTGGAAAAACATAGAAGAAGAAGTCATCATCTTTATCCTTTTGTGCCAGTATACATCACTTACGGCTTGCAAGTCTATTCTTCCAATCCCTTTGGCCCTGTGCAGTTGTTGCAATATCATGGATGGAGTCCAGTCCAGCACCCTTGACCTCTCTCATTAAAATTCCTCTTATGCTTTGTTTACCATTTCAGTGGCTGTTTGTTGAATCTCTGCTTGTTTCTCCACAGGATGTGCCAGTATATAGCTATCTTCTTTGTCTTACATGTTAGCGCAGGTGATAGGAGACACGCTTTCAAATCCAGCTGCTACTTGCTGCAGCCCACAGCCATTGTTCAAAACTGGGCGGTTCCCAGGGTTCGCCCAGCCTCTAGAAAATGGGTACCAGAGTTAACACTCTGGAGTAAATGGAGGAACGTTGCTGTAGCTAGAGTTGCATGCGGATGGTGACACAGGCAGACAGTTTCTTATCAGCTGTCTATATTTGTGGCAGAGCACTTATGGTTTTTAACCGAGTGCAATGACGCTGGTTCACATCTCCCGACTTTACCTTTTTACAACTGTTGATACTAATGGTTGATACTGTTAATACTGATAACATACTGTATTTGCATTATTTTTGCAGATTCCAAAGGTGGCAACAGAATTAAAGTGGCTAACCCTGTAGTAGAGCTTGATGGAGATGAGATGACAAGAATCATCTGGGAGAAGATCAAGGAGAGAGTGAGTAGTTTCTTTTCTGGATGTTTTCATTTGCTGGCTGGTTGTGCCTTATACGGTTGAAGAGATGATGACAGAAGCAGGCTGAATTATGGGTATGACCTTCACCTCTGGTTTGAGCAGACCTGAAATGATTCCTGGTGTGGACAGTATAGAGGGTTGACATACTGAAGGTTTTGCCGTCTGGAGACTTTGGGATAAAGGAGTCAGGGACGATGAACTACCTGTTGGAGCTGAGTATAAAATGAGGACAAGCGTGCAGAAACCGATTGCGGGGCAAAAAAAAGAAGATGTGCTGGTCAACCCCTACTGGGTACATTGAGCATGTAGACACTGAGATGGCTGTTGCATCAGAGAATAGAGCACAAATGAGTCAGATCAGGAATGGCTGCAGCTAACAGGCTGTTCTGCTGACATCTCCGGGTCGGGCTAACAATGCGTTAACGCAGCTGTTCTCAAACTGGGTGCCGAGGCACCCTGGGGTGACATGAGCATATGCCAGGGATGCCACGGCAATAATCAAGAAAAGTCCGCTAAAAATTTTGAAATTATACTTGAAAGTTAAAATTTAAGTTGTCTTCCCTCGCCACTGTTGAAAATAGTTCACTTCTTGTTTGAGAACCGCTTTGTTAACACATCGTTAGCCCGACCCGGTGACGTCAGCAGGATGGCCCGTCAGCTGGAGCCGGTCGTGATCAGGTCAATGTGCTAGAATCTCGATATGGACAAGTAACAAGAATGGACAGTGTCGATTTTTCAGAGTTGTTGATTCCTGACCTGTCAGGCAGATGTACTCTGACTTTGGAGGAAACTCCCTTAATTAGTCATCTTGTATGGCATGCTTGCCTTAGAAGAGCTGCAGGAGTTTCAAGGAAAGACGGAATACGAATCAGACAGATGCTAGGAATAAAGCCAGTCTTACAAGTCATCTAATATCAACAAATGAAGTGGTTTGGATACCTAACAAGTATGCCCTGGTACTATCTGCCACAGCAAGCCACACTGAAACGTTACAGCAGGTATAGAGCGAGTGGAAGACCTCAGAAAATATGGAGTGATGGCATTAAGAACAGACTTACAGAAATGAACATCAGTCCTAATAGTGCTCATCAACGAATGTTACACCCCCCCCCCCCCCTTCCCCCTACACACACTTCGCTGAGGTGGAAGAGAAGAAGAAGAAGAAGAAATATGGCATGCTTGTTAAGGAGACAGTGTGTCTATTCCTGTTTCCCAGTAGCACACACAGAGATGAATGAAGCCAATAATAATATTTCATTGTTGATTTATCTGTTTCGTCTGACAGCTGATCTTCCCCTATGTTGATGTGGACTGCAAGTACTATGACCTTGGGTTACCCTACAGGGACCAGACCAATGACCAAGTCACCATCGATGCTGCAGAGGCCATCAAGAAATACAATGTTGGCATTAAGTGTGCAACAATCACACCTGATGAGCAGCGAGTTGAAGGTGAGTTGACTATCTATAGTTCTTATTGTAAAGATCTTTTTTTTTTTGTAGTTCTTATAGTGTAGATCTTTTATATGTAGTTCTTATAGTGTAGATCTTTTATATGTAGTTCTTATAGTGTAGATCTTTTATATGTAGTTCTTATAATGTAGATCTTTTGTATGTAGTTCTCATAGTGTAGATCTTTTATGTGTAGTTCTCGTCATATGATTTGGCTTTATATAGTTCACATTGTGAGTTGACCAAATGTAGCCTCTGTAAGTGTGTAGTTCTCAGTGTCTAATGTGTTTGTAGTTCTGATTGTGTCAGTTGACCCTTTAAAGTTAAAAATAGAACGGTTGGAAAAAATATTTAATAATACATAATAAATTAAAGAGTATACAACTTCAGACTGACAATATATTGCATTATTTTTTAGAGAAGTGGTTCCAACCTTTTTTTTTTCTCCTCTTGCCTTCCTGCCCCTTACCCAACTTTTAAAAAAATAATTTTTTTACGTGATTAACAAATTGGAGAACTAAAAGAAAAACCCCGAGAATTTTAACAAGAACCTAGATAAAAACATCCATATAAAGCAATATGTAAGATAAAATACAAGAAGTAATCACCAACAGCTGGTAATATCAGTTTGATGGTTGACACTGTCTTGTCTTGATGATGTCTGCTATTTGTGGTCTGATGTTGGACAAGGCATGACACCACAGATCACTCTCCACATCAAGCTGGCAGTGCTGCTTTGTTTTCATGACTTAAATTTTAATGCATCTTCTTCTTTGCGTTCACCAGCTGTAAACTCTGGTGGAAAGTTCTGGTTGTTCGTCCACTTCTGGACTGCATTCCTGTTCCAGAACAGATCTGTTGACAGATCTGACACATTTGTGTGCAGACTGTTGGTTCCTTGCCATTCAGGCAGATGCACTTCAACTTTGAAGGAAGCTCCCACTTGGTCGACTCTTACAACATGCTTTTGGGTAGTCAGTAGGTCTATTCTTGTTTTCCCTATAACAGGGCCCCGTAACCCACAAGGGGGTTTTTAATGAATAATTAAACTGGAAGAAATGTCAGTACAACAGATTATTGCAGGTACAAATGTCCTAATCTCAAAATTGCTTGACATCCCTTTGAAATGTTGAGCTCCCCCTCCCGCTTTCTCCGTTGTGGTGCTATCCTCAGGTTGAAACCTATAGTTCCAGATAAAGAGAGCAAAGTGCTTGGATCATACAGGCAATAGCTGTTCATTGTTCAATAACTTGTCATTCATCACAGACAGTTATCGTTGAAGTGTGAGTACCACTGATCATAATCACACGTTTATGTGTCGCACGTGGGCGTACAAATAGCTGAGTTAACTAGACTTCAGGGTTAAGTGAAAGTCATCTGGGGGAGAGACCATCTGCTGCCCTCGGACAAGTGGTTCTGTGGTTATACATCAGTACATGTTACCTAGCTCACAGTTTGTTTCTCTGTCAGCATGTGTCTACATGAGGTGACTTCTTGTTCGGTGTTCCTGCTTAAAATGGTGGTTGGCACTTATGTGTTGTGGTTTACAGCTAGGCTGTGATATCTGCACTTTTCTGTCTAACACATTCAATTGTTGCAAATCCTGAATTAGTCCTCTTTCACAACAGACTTGTGAGGGGGTTGTGAGCCTATTTCCCCCTCCCCCTTTCCCCCCATACAAGATGTCAGAAGCAACACCGTTCTTTCAGTCAGTAAAAAACAATTAGGTCTAGTAAGCCTGGCACACAAAAGGACAAATAATATTAAACGATTGAGTCTTCTCCAGCTAATAGAAAAACTGGAGAAAAAAAAGAAGTAATATTAGAATTCAGAATTGGCAGTTTGAATATCTCAACAAAATAATAAATATAGTAAAAGCAGAATTTACCCAACAAACCAAATCAAGAATAAAAGAGCAACAAACTACGAGCTAGTAACATATGCTGCTCTGTTTGAGTGAGTGAGTGACTGGTGAGTGAGTGAGTGGGTGAATGAGTGAGAGAGAGAGAGAGAGGAGTTGGATGGAAAACCTGTTCCTCCTGTGCATGATTAAAGATGCAGATTGTCCCCATAAAGACACCAGAGGCAGGTCAACCAACTACAAGCTAGGCAACATGTGCTGATGGTGAACTACAGATCCCTTGTCATGAGCAACAGATGGTCTCCCTAAACCATTGATTTCCAACCTGGAAGTGAGTGTCCCTCTAGGGAGTCACAAGGAAGTTTCAAGGGGGTGTCAGTTTTGATATTTAGTGCATATGTGCTTGTAATAATCTTTTACACATTTTTATTTTTATTTAATTATATACAAAATATTTTTTTAAATTCTATTTAAAAAAAAAGACGGGGGTGTTTTTGTTTTCATTAGCAGTTTTTACATCTACCATTAAAAATGTAATTATTAGAATAACATGTGCATTTAATTATAAAGTTGGGGGTCTTGCTGTATCAAAGGGGTCGCCGCCTGATAAAGGCTGAAAACCACTGCCCTAAATTGTGACATTGATGTAACCAGAGAGTCTAAGTAAAGTAAAGGTCCTTTTTCCACATGGGAATATAGGGCTAGACCTATATTTTTATAGACCAGTCAGCACTTGGTGGTAATGTGAGTCTAGCTAATGGAGTAGTGTAAATACACACTTGGCTGCTACTTCTCTGTACTGTCACACTTGCCTGATTCTGGTCATGGATTCATTGCCTGGATTTTATTACTTGGGTCAATATCAGCATATGCCTTGCCAAATGGTGTAGACATTATCTCTCCATAGATCTTTATCCTTTTGATCCTGCATAGATCTTTATCTTTTTGATCCTCTATAGATCTTTATCTTTTTGATCCTACATAGATCTTTATCTTTTTTATCCTACATAGATCTTTATCTTTTTGATCCTACATAGATCTTTATCTTTTTGATCCTCCTTAGATCTTTATCTTTTTGATTCTGCATAGATCTTTATCTTTTTTATCCTCCATAGATCTTTATCTTTTTTATCCTCTATAGATCTTTATCTTTTTGATCCTACATAGATCTTTATCTTTTTTATCCTACATAGATCTTTATCTTTTTTATCCTCTATAGATCTTTATCTTTTTTGATCCTCTATAGATCTTTATCTTTTTTATCCTACATAGATCTTTATCTTTTTTATCCTACATAGATCTTTATCTTTTTTATCCTACATAGATCTTTATCTTTTTTATCCTATATAGATCTTTATCTTTTTTATCCTACATAGATCTTTATCTTTTTTATCCTACATAGATCTTTATCTTTTTTATCCTACATAGATCTTTATCTTTTTGATCCTCCATAGATCTTTAACTTTTTGATCCTCTATAGATCTTTTTTTTAATCCTCTATAGATCTTTATCTTTTTTATCCTACATAGATCTTTATCTTTTTGATCCTCCATAGATCTTTATCTTTTTGATCCTCCATAGATCTTTATCTTTTTTATCCTCCATAGATCTTTATGTTTTATATAAATTTTTCTTCTTCTTCTCCTTCTCCGTCTCCTCCTTCTCCGTCTCCTCCTCCTCCTTCATCCTCATCATCATACATGGATCATGGATCTCTTCATTTCTCTTCCAAAATCGTAGCTTGCAACCCACATGAGGAGATAGTTACTTATCCAAGGTTTTCACATCTTTCATAATGAAAACCATCTCTCCACTACTTCCTAGCTGTTCTTTATCTCTCCACTACTTCCTAGCTGTTCCTTATTTCAGAGAGATTTCTGCATTTTATCAGTTAATATGTGCCAGTGCATTGACACTGTTTGACCAATAGCCCTACATGTTTGATTAAACTGAAAGCACTATATGTTTTACTGAAAGCCTTGTATGTTTGACTGAAAGCACTATATGTTTGACTGAAAGCCTTGTATGTTTTACTGAAAGCCTTGTATGTTTGACTGAAAGCACTATATGTTTGACTGAAAGCCTTGTATGTTTGACTGAAAGTACTATATGTTTTACTGAAAGCCTTGTATGTTTGACTGAAAGCACTATATGTTTGACTGAAAGCCTTGTATGTTTGACTGAAAGCACTATATGTTTGACTGAAAGCCTTGTATGTTTGACTGAAAGCATTGTAGGTTTGACTGAAAGCCTTGTATGTTTGACTGAAAACCTTGTATGTTTGACTGAAAGCCTTGTATGTTTGACTGAAAGCCTTGTATGTTTGACTGAAAGGTTCGGCACTAGGTAGGTTCGGCACTGGGTAGGTTCGGCACTGGGTAGGTTCGGCACTGGTAGGTGATGTGGTCAGCAGCACGCCAGCCACCTTTATTTCCCAGGATGAAGAATACATCGCTCATCAGTCGACTTTTACAACATAATGGTTAGGGGCCAGTGGGCCTATTCTTTTTCCCCCCAAACAGGGCCCCGAAACCCACACGGGAAACGTGACTGAATATTTATAATGATCTAATCTCCCAGTGTAGATTCCAGGGCCATTATGGGAAGTAAAAGAATAGAATCACGGCCCCTAGCAAGCATGCCATAAAACATGACCAATTAGGGATCAATAAGCAATTGACTGAAGCTTTATATGTTAGGCCAGAAGGTGCAGATATCACAGCCTAGCTGTAAACCACAGCACAACATATCCCCTGCCCTTTTAAGAGGGAATACTGAAGAGAAGAATCTAATCTCGAGTTTCTGTGAGGTTTTCTTATCTGGGCCACAGAGCCTTGAATACAACATAATTGCTGGAGGTGCCCTGAACACACAGGACCTGCACAATCACATTTGTTTCACCTTTTGTGCTGATAAACTGTTTGACCTTGCCAGGTAATTTGTCCACATCAAGGTCAAGCAGCTAGTGGTTGCTAAGGTGAAATAAAAGCCAGTGAATTAGCTGTGGTGTCAGGTGGCACGTTTTGTATGTCACAGGTCAACCACTTCAGTGTACAGTTGCTAACTGAAATTGTTTCAGTTCTCTTGAGATTAAAGACCTGACCATGTAATATTCCTGATGATTTCAGTGAATAAACTGCAGCCAACTGATTTATGTGGTTTTTTTTTTTTAAAAAATAAAATAGAAATTGTATTATATTGTTCTAAGAATTTTCCTGGTGGGTTCCGGGACCTCATTGTGGGGTGGGGGTCGGGGTAGACCCAGTTATGTTGAATTGAGTCAAGAATTGACATCACAGCACTTGAGGCATTCCCATATGCGCTTCTGTTCCCATCTTCAGCAGCCAGCGCAGAGTTTCAGTACTAATGGTGCCGGTCACAGTCTGGTTATATGTCCATCTTGCCTTTCCTATGAGGGTAGTGAGCTGGCCAGACCCTCTGGTTACACCCAGGTGCCTCATTCTCTCCAGCCCATAATAATCCAGTTTATCTTCTGACTTCATTACTTGTTCCCAAAGGACCTTGACCACATCTGGCGCATCTGCTTTGTCGCGTATCAGTTTATCACCCAGTGGTGCATATCTAGCCAGTCTATCTGCCTTTTCGTTCCCCATCATGCTGGCATGGCCCGGAGAAGCTCCCAGTTATTCAACTCTTAGGACATGCTAGTTGTGTAGGCTGTGGTTCTGTTCTCGTTTCCCTTACAATGGGGCTCCAGAACCCACACGTGCAATCATCACATTTGGCATAAGACGTTGTCTATTCCTCCATTCTGTCCTATCCTGTGCTATCGTTTCAGTATCATAGATGATGTCCAGTCCATCACCTTTGGCTTGTCTCACAATATTCAGTTTAGAATTTCAGTTGAATGTCCCCATTTCATTATCAAAATATATGTAATCATTTAACCCTCACCATTGACGTAGTCTTGTGAAGGTTACAGCCAAAAAGGAAATAGCCTTGAAATGCCAGCAGGATAAATAGAGTATTCTTTCCATTTGACCTTTCTCTAGCCATACACCTTAAGATTACATTACAAACTGCCAGGCAAGCACATTTCTGTCCAGGTGTATTTAAAAATAGCAGCCAAAATTAAACTGGGCAGAACACTGTGCTCTACCTTCGTACAGAGTTGTTTAATAAAAGGAGTCCACAGTTTTAATCGGTCACAGGAAGTGATATCTTTTTAGTGGGGTTGTTGGTTAGTGTGGTCGATCATCTGTGACGTTGCTATGGAGACTGCACATGTAGGTCACGCTTTAGCAGTTGTCTGTTGGATGCAGTGCTTGGGAGAATTTTATGTCAGTGGTGTGGAAAAAATTGTGTACGTCTGGAGAAAATATTATGTATATGTCTGGAAAAGATAGTGTACCTGTCTGGAAAAGATTGTGTACGTATCTTGAAAAGATAGTGTACGTATCTGGAAAAGACAGTTTTGTACCTGTCTGGAAAAGATAGTTTATGTGTCTGGAAAAGATAGTGTGTCTTAAAAAAGACAGTGTAGGTGTCTGGAAAAGATAGTGACAATAACCATGTCACAGCAGTTCTGTGATATAACATAATCTAATATAACCCTTGACCTGTTAGGGTTATGGAGGTGTATTGAGGGAAGCACAACCCATAAAACCGGCCATTTTTCTCTGTCTTCTGCTTGATGAATAGGTGTATGATAACTTTCTCCTGTCCATTTCTTAATGTTGTTATTGTTTGTCCTCCTCTTCTTCGACTTACCCTCTTAAAGTACATTCTTTGCAATGGAATCATGTTTCACCACATGCTAAACAAAGCTAACTTGCGACGTTTCACCACTACCAAGAGAGACTCCTGGTCTCCTTCAAATCTGTATATTTTGTTCTGACATATTTATTAGTTTTGTGTTCTAAATAACTAATTCGTAAAATGCGTCTGTAGCAGTTACATTTGAAAGCCTGAATCCTCCTTTCCATCTCCACAGTGAGAGTCCAACTCTAACATCCGTATAAGAAAATAGACAACACCAGTAAATATTGACCTTGACTGCGAGGCTGATTTTGCTCTTCCACATTGTATTCAGCCTGGAACATTGCGGCTGTTACCATATCATGTCTTGTCTTGATCTTTTTGGTACAGCTGCCATTTTTGCCAAGATATTTAGAGGTTTCGGCTTCTATTTTTTTTTCTCTTCTACCTGTATGTTGGTAGGTACTTGATTAATGTGACTATTTACCAGAATCTTGCTTTTCTCGGCATTAATTTCCATGTCATATTTAGCATAGACTGTCTCTAATTTTGTAGTAAGTTTTTGGGAGTTCTGTTTCAGAACCAGCATGAGATCAGTGCCATCTGCAAAATGTAAATTACATAGTTGTATTCCTCCAGTGTTTCACGATTTTCTAGTGATTCTCTCATGATGTGTTTCAAATACAAATTGAATAGGACAGGGGATAGTATGCAACCCTGACTCACTCCCACGCTTGTCTTGAAAAAAAATTTCCCATAAGATGATGTCTGGGACTGGAGTGTTAGTCTCTGCTTCTCTATTATATAAGTCTTTACAATATTCTGTCCATCTCTCCAATATTGCTGTTTCTCATTAAGGACGTATCTGTTCTTATCCTCTATAATGGGTATCTTGGGTTTTTGTTGTTTGCTTAGTCTTTTTTATTGTCTTGTAGGCTGCCTTGTTGTTGCCCTGTTTCAAACCCATGTCAGTGAACTCTCACTGGTTTTTAATCTTCTTTTGCCATCTTCATTTGTGTCCTCATTTTTCTGTTGACCATGATATATTCTTCTGCTGCTGCTGGGGTTTGCCTTTTCTCATTTTTAATTTCCTGTCGCATATCGCATCATTTCAAGATGTCACTTGTCATATAGTGTCAAACCAGTCTCACTGTCATTGAAATCATACATCACTCTCCACCAGAAAGAATTTCATATTTACCAGGTAACAGATTTATAAGATGGGGTGACCAACTTCCTACCTCCATCATCATCATCAGATTATCCTGTTATGTCTTAATGTGTCACATAGGGCTTGCTTTCTCTTGGGAAAACATATTGTACGTGTCTGGAAAAGATAGTCTGTCTCGAATAGATATTGTATGTGTCTGGAAGAATTTCTTTTGGTGTTTTCTCAATCATTTGTTTCGTTTCATTGTCTGTCTTGTGATTCTTTGGCTGTGTTTCCTCCAGCCCAATGCCTAGAGAGAGATCTTTACTAAAAGGTGGCCGAACAGTGTAAGATGGCTATACCGATTATGTCAAAGGGTCCAACACTTACTAGCTTATATCATCGTGGGCGTGTAACCAAGAAGTTACAGGAAATGTCAAGAATACAGAATATATACTTTTTTCTTTATTTGTTTTACAGAATTCAAACTGAAGAAGATGTGGCTCAGCCCAAACGGAACAATCAGGAACATCCTGGGTGGGACGGTATTTCGTGAGCCAATCATTTGCAAAACTATACCACGTCTGGTTCCTGGCTGGACCAAACCCATTGTGATTGGTCGTCATGCTCATGGTGACCAGGTAAGCTGTCACATCTGTTAATTTTCATCATTTACAAGTTTCAGAATTTATTTTTGTGCTTTAATTACAGACCAGAAGTATGCTAGTAAAAAGTAAGTAAAAAAAAGTAAAGATCCCTTTTCATGCCTTTCGGCGCATCGGGCATATGGGCAGAGCGTATGCTAGTAGACGAGTAATATTCAGAAAAGGGCAATAATAAAAGCTGGGCTTCCGTAGTCCCAGCATTCATCATTGACCTGCTTAAACCTGCTAATTAAAACAGTAAAAATGACTTCCACTATTTACCAGTGCTAGATGTTAACCCTTTCCACTATTTACCAGTGCTAGATGTTAACCCTTTCCACTATTTACCAGTGCTAGATGTTAACCCTTTCCACTATTTACCAGTGCTAGATGTTAACCCTTTCCGCTATTTACCAGTGCTAGATGTTAACCCTTTCCGCTATTTACCATGGTGCTAGGGTGTTAACCCTTTCCGCTATTTACCAGTCGTAGATGTTAACCCTTTACACTATTTTCCAGAGTGCTAGATGTTAACCCTTTTTCCGCTATTTACCAGTGCTAGATTCAAACCCTTTCCGCTATTTGGCCAGCCCTAGAACAATCAGAACCCTTTCCACTATTTTCGTGTGCTAGATGTTAACCCTTTCCGCTATTTCCAGTGCTAGACCAAACCCTTTCCGCTATTTCGTCAGTGCTCATGTTGAACCCTTTCCACTATTTCACAGTGCTAGATGTTAACCCTTTCCACTATTTACCAGTGCTAGATGTTAACCCTTTCCACTATTTACCAGTGCTAGATGTTAACCCAAGTAACTATTTACCAAAAGTGCTAGATGTAAAAACCCTTTCCACTATTTACCAGTGCTAGATGTTAACCCTCTCCACTATTTACCAGTGCTAGATGTTAACCCTTTCCACTATTTACCAGTGCTAGATGTTAACTCTTTCCACTATTTACCAGTGCTAGATGTTAACCCTTTCCACTATTTACCAGTGCTAGATGATAACCCTTTCCACTATTTACCAGTGCTAGATGTTAACCCTTTCCACTATTTACCAGTGCTAGATGATAACCCTTTCCACTATTTACCAGTGCTAGATGTTAACCCTTTCGCCTCAGAAACCCTTGGAAAAAGAATCCTATGAACCTGTGAATTCATAACCTGTCTCTACTTCTGCATCTAAGAGCGATAACCCGTCTTTACTTCTGCAACTAAGAGTGATTAACCCTGTCTCACTATTTGCCATTTATAGATGATTAACCTGTCCACTACTTCTGCATGCTAGAGTGATAACCCTTCTCTACTTCAGAATCTATGAAAAATAATCCTATCTCTACTTCTGCATCCTGTAAAATAATTTTTTTTACAATGCAGCCTTTTTTCTTTTACACAGGTCAGGAATAAGTTGTTAAAAAATTTATCTTTTGACATATAAAAAATATTTGTAATATATCAAGGGGCGTAAATTTAAAAAATGCGAATGAAGTAGAGAATTACATGGATTACAATCCTTGGGCTGAAAAAAACTATATAGTAACTCATACTTGGCCTATTTCTATACAAATCTACATAATGGCAAATTATGAACATAATGGCTTTGAAAATACCATCTTTTTCCCTTAGTTTAAGTAAATATAATCAAGTCCTTGGCCTTTTAAGCACAGCTACAAACAGAACCAATGTCATTATCTAGACTACTGTGGGTATAAGCCAGTGCAGCTGTGCTGATTTAGGGCATTTGTAGCAGACAGCAGTGATTGATTAGCCTGCATTTTGGTGCCAAAAGAAAAAAAGAGCTACAAACAAAGCATAGACAGTGTTGCCTGCACACATGACAGTGTTTATTTTGTAAGACATGTTCTTGTCTTCCTACAGTACAAAGCTACAGACTATGTGGTTCAGAACGAGGGACTGCTGGAGCTTGTCTTCACTCCTGCTCAAGGAGGGCAGCCAGTCAGGATGCCTGTGTTCAACTTCAAGAAGGGTGGAGGTGTTGGACTGGCCATGTACAACACCGATGAGGTTTGTTTGACTAAGACTCTACCGTTATTTTAATATATGTGTGATGTTGCTCCTTAAGTTGTTGACAAAGCTACACCACGTTGAAATTTGACCTGCTATGTTCTGTTGGCTAGTGGCAATGAACAAGTAGGACTCCATGGTGAATAATCATAGATTCAGCAAACAGGATCCTTCTGCTACAATAGTTTAGTTGCCGTGTGCACAGTCTGCCAGTCAGCCATCACAAACAGTCATCTAGGGTTGACTTACAAGCATTCAGGGTTTGGCACAGCAACCAAATATATTTACAAAGTTAATTGTCCTGCAACCACACATCCTCAGATCAGGTACATCAGAGAGTTTTCTCCCATTCTTCTAGCAAGCATCCACAAGAGACCCGTTGGATCCTCCGTCTTTTTTCTATCAGAGGCCAAAATAAACATCCTAACCTGCATAGTGTGTGGCCACTACACTGGTCATGCGGCCCTAAATCCTCAGGTGCAAGAACACCATAAAAAGTGGTAGGTACCGTATATACAGGCAGGAACAGCAGCATGATTTTTGTAGCATCCTTTCATGCAATCAGAAGAACAGTGTACACCAGTTTGGAACACTATCCCTTCCCCTTGTGGTAGAAATATGACAAGACCTTTTCGTGTTCATTTAAATTTCAAGAATATAAAAGTTGACCATGTTTAACCTTCTGCAAGCAGTTTTGGTTATATTTGTGGTCTGTTTCTTTAAGCTAAATGTATTGGCTAAGTTATGTTATCTGTGCCAGATTTAATGGTTTTAATAGGTTTTGGTGCCATAATGAATGGCTGTGTTTTAACTAGTGTGTCATGCTGTCCCTGAATGCATGTCTGGTTCTGTTATATTAGTCATGTGGTTTGATGACAGACCTGACACTGATGTGTAGACAACATTTTTCATGTTTTCCTGCAGTCCATCACTGGATTTGCGCATGCCTGTTTCCAATATGCCCTGATGAAAGGCCAGCCACTCTACATGAGCACCAAGAACACCATTCTCAAGAAGTACGATGGAAGATTCAAGGACATCTTTCAGGAGATCTTTGACAAGTGAGTCCTGCTGCTGGTGCTTCACTGTTGGCACCTCTCTGTCTTTCCAGATGATAGTGTTTTAGTTTGCTATGGGGGGCACAGGAGTCAAAGTCACAGCCCATGGCAATGGCAAGTATGACCAGCAAGACCTGCGCAGGTTAAAAAAAAGGGTCTTCCATAATAAGAGCATGGGATTTCAGGCCCGTTATTGCCATCACATGCATTTGGTGTGCTTCTTCTTAGACTTTCAGCTCTTATCCTTTCTACAGTAAATTTGTTTCTTTCGTTTCTATTCCCTTCCTGATTTTCTCCCTCCACTCAACATGTGCCATTCATTTTGTTCCCATGAATCTACCGTAATATCTGTATCAGTCATGCCCTGCTTGCTCACATCTTTATATGGGTTTTATGTTTGTTCTGTAATTCTTCTTCTGTGTTTGCTGTTCAAATTATAGTTGGTGTATTGTGTCGTGGTTTACAGCTAGGCTGTGATACATAGACCTTTAGGTGCATCATATTCAGATTTCAGCAAGTCCTAATTGGTTTAGAGAATGCTTGTTGTTGATCAGTGGGTCCATCTCTGTCATTCAGTTGCCAATGTTTCTGATTATTATTCTTCATCTCCATCCACCCTTTAGAGGGCGGGTGGCATGTTGTATTGTGGTTTACAGCCGGGCTGCGATATCTGCGCCTTTCTGCTCATGACCTCTGATTTCAACAGACTCTTAATTAGCCCTCTTTTATGACATGCTTGTGAAGGGGCTGAAGGTCAGTTTTCTTTGCCCTGGAACCCACAGGAAATGTTTTATTTATCACTGTTTCTGTTTATGACTTTAATAGTTAGTCATACAGATCATCTTCATAGCCTGTGGAACAAGTCCATAAACAAGAGTTCAGGTGTGACAACTATAAGTTTTGTCACCTGCTTCCTTCCCGTGTGGGTTCTGAGGCAAAATTTTGGCGGTGGGTGGGGGTGAAATAATAGACTCACTGCCCCCTTAACAAGTTAGTTGTGTATCCTTTACAGGACGTTGCAGAACCAACCGCAGCATTTTTTTGGCTGTTGTGGTTTTTCTAGGCAAATTTGATGTTCAGCATGACCTAAAAGGCCACTAATTTGGGGTTTTTTTTTTTTTCAAAGTCGTAGTGTATCCATCTCAAAGACAAAGAACCAACAGTCGGCATACATGTAAGCAAAACTCAAAACTCCTGAAAAAACAAGTCTGAAAGTCCAGAAGTGGGTAAACAACTAGAACTCTACAGTTTACTATAGGTGAACTTAAAGAAGAAAGTTACCTCCTGCCCTTGTTCTCATCATCATCATCATTTTGTCACCTGCGTGCTCTCAAGCACAGTCCACCACTTGCTCCCATAATTCCACATTATCCTGGTTGAGGGGCTAAATGAAATATCCCACCTACCCCAAGGATATCCCATAGGTTGACGTAGGAAAGAAGGGGCCTTTCTTCTCTTTTGATTCAAAAAGTACATTTACCCCCACTACTCAGGTACACAGTCATCTTGGTCTGTACAAGTCGGCCTTACTTCATCCAAACCTGTGTCATCGATTCTAGTAAATCAGTCAATTCTTCTTCATGTTCACCGGCTATAAACTCCAGTAGAAAGTTCTAGTTGTTCATCAGCTTCTAAACTCCGTAGTCCTGTTCCAGAATCTTGAGTGTTGCATGCAGACTGTTGATTCCTTGCTTGTCAGGGTGATGCACACCAACTTCTAAGGAAGCACCCTGTTAGTCGACTCTCATGATATGCTTTTGGGTAGGCAGTGGGTCTGTTCTTGTTTTCCCCACAATGGGGCCCCCAAAAACTCACACAAAGAAATCAGTCAGTTAATATTAGCATTGTCTGGATAACAAACCCCCCCCCCCCCCCCACCCCCCCATCCATGGTTAAATAAGAAAAAAAAATTTATGTTTAACTGTTTCTTGTTCTCAGAGAATACGCGGGAGAGTTTGACAAGAAAGGCATCTGGTATGAGCATCGCTTGATAGATGACATGGTTGCCCAGTGCTTGAAGTCATCAGGTGGTTTTGTGTGGGCATGTAAGAACTACGATGGAGATGTCCAGTCTGATATTGTTGCTCAAGGTAGGCGTGTGTCGGGGCTTGAGTCTCGATAAGGAGATTTAAACTGTATTTGAAAAAAATTATCGTTATAATTACACTGGTTAATTATTTCTGTTGTTTATCAGTCATTATGTTCGATACATATGATGGAAGTAGCAGTCCTGAAATTCCATGCTCCAATTGTGGTAGACTTTTCTTGACAAAGGTGGGTCTTGCTAGTCACACTTCCCGCGTGCTGTGATTCGAATTGCCTCCCCATTGTACAGCATAATGCTATCATCTGCGAAGATGGAAAGATGCCAAGAAATTGTGACATTGTCCATCATTTTACAGGTTCCTGTTTGGGTTCTATGTCCAGATTTTTTTTCTTAGTAGGGAAAACAGATAAACTCACTGTTCCTTAAGAAAACCGGGAAGGCTAACCCAGGCAACAAATACCTGCAGAAATCAGATGTGTTGGCCAGAAGGTGCAAATATCATAACCATGTTGTAAAAGGGTTCAACACATTTACATTTTTGGATGAACACAGAAGCAGAAAGAAATTCTCACTTAACCATTGTTAGCTCAATTGTTTGTCGTTGCCAAGCCGACTTTCATTGCTGAAGAGTCCATCTTTGCCCCAGAGTGCACTGCTGCCAGAAAGGGTCATGTTGTCTTGCAGGCTCCGAATGTGTTTAGGGGTGGAAAAACAGATCAGTTTAAACCAGGAAACATAAGTTACACTGTAGGCAACAGATAGTTCATTGTCACTCATATGGAAGTAACTCAGATTTCAGAATGTTGATGTATAGTGAGCCATTATGACAAGACATGATCTAATGATTACGATTGTATTTGTGTGCAGGCTATGGCTCCCTGGGGCTGATGACCAGTGTCCTGGTGTGTCCAGATGGCAAAACTATTGAGGCTGAGGCTGCCCATGGAACGGTCACTAGACATTACAGGGAACATCAGAAAGTGAGTCCGGAAAGTGTCAATAAGGCAAGAGTGGGGGGAAGTTATAGGAGTGTTGCGCGAGGCGTAGAGAGGGAAAAATCAAGGAGAACTGGATAAGGTAGAGTAAGGGTAAGTTATAGAAGTGTTGGGTAAGGCATAGACTGGGAAACTAGGGAGTGTTGAGTGTGGGAAAATTAGAGATTAAGTTAAATTTTTTCTTCTTCTTTTTCTTAGCATTCACCGGCTGTAAACTCCAGAAGAACATTTTTGTTGTTTGTCCACTCCTGAACTAGATCTAGGATTAGAGTTTTACATGCACACCTGTTCTACAAATCTGGCTTATTATATACAGACTGTTGGTTCCTTGCCTCTCAGGCAGATGCACTTTGACTTTGAAGAAAGCCCACAACTAGCCAACTTGTACGACATGCTTGTTAGGGAGGCAGTGAGTCTGTTCTTGTTTTCTCCACAATGGGGCCCCGGAGAACCCACTTGGAAAACCTCGCAAGTGGCCTGCAGATTATTACCAGTTGTATTATATTAATGATCTTTCTAAACTGGGCTCGGGCTTTTTAAAAGGATACAAAATAACCTTTTTTTTTTTTTTTTTGAGGAGGAAAAGTTTGATATTATGTAGACATTTTATTTTATTGGTCCTACTGAACAATTACTGTGTTTATGATGGGCAGAATGAATATTTACATAGGAATTGTTTATTGTTATTTTATCACTGACTGTCAGGGTAACCCCACCAGTACGAACCCCATCGCCAGCATCTATGCCTGGACACGGGGGCTGGAGCACCGAGGCAAGCTGGATGGCAACACTGAACTTCAGCAGTAAGTACTGTAACTCTGTTGGTGGTTGGTTGGCTGTGAAATCGCTGGAAGACTTTGTGTTTCAATCTTGAGCACTGTGCATTGACTCTCAGATTGTCTAAACCTTAAAAAGTGCATCCGTCATCTTCTTTTGCATTTGCCTTTCAGAAGAGGGTTGGCACATTGAGCTTTGATTCTTTTTCTGCTTCTTCTTCGCTTTCTCTGGCTATAAATTTTGGCAGAAAGTTCTAATTGTTCATCCATTTGGGGACTTTATACCTCTCCCAGAACTTCAGTTTTGCGTGCACATCCATTCTACAGATTTTGTATGCAGACTATTGGCTCCTTGCTTCTCGGGTAGATACACTCTGACTTTGAAGGAATCTACTAATTAGTCGACTCTTGCGACATGCTTGTTAGGGAGGTGGTAGATCTATTCTCGTTCTTCCCCCATAATGGGATCCCGAAACCCACTCGGTGGGAGGGGGGGGTGCTATGATTTACAGCTAGGCGGAGATAACTGCATCTTTCAGTTAAATACATCTGATTTCATCAGACCATTTGATCACTTTTAATAATATCCTTGTTCAGGAGCATTGATTGCATCTTTTCAGCCCCCTCCCCTGGATATGGGGCCCAGGGACCCACATGGAGACTTGCATCTTTGAGAGTGAGGTGGATTATAGAGACTCATCTCATGACCCTGTACACCAGTACTATTTCCACAGGTGCTGTGTTGCAGAGCTCTTAATCCCCTTTCCAAGCGAAGTGAGCAAGACATACATGATCTTCTCATCTGTGGGCAGTCATATTACTAAACAAGAAGAGTAGATATAACTGTCGCATCATCAGCTTCTAGTGTTACTTTGCAGAACAGCCCTTTAGAAAGACTTGATCTGTTGCCCTTTACCCTATTGCATGCATTATCATACCCAAATTTGTTTCCTTTCAGAAGGTATGCCTTCCATTAGTGCTCTTTCTTAACTACTGAGTTTTTTAATATGTCAGAAATAATTTAATTTCCAAATATGATGCTGATTATAAGTCAGATTTCTTTGATGGTTAAAATATAGAATGTCAGTATTTTTTTTATCCACTGTATTCAGATAACTGTTCTGAGTGTAGAAACCGATTTTTTTTAATTTTTAAATTACAATAATTGCAAAAGGTTTTGTGACAACTACTTTTGTATTCACCCTTAAAAGGGTGATTGATATGCGTGTGTTGTTGTTGTTGTTGTTGTTGTTGTTGCTGACATTCACTTGTTTAACCTACATTTTATTTTTAAACAGGTGGGCCTTGAAGTTAGAAAAGGCATGTGTTGACTGTGTGGACAAAGGCAAGATGACCAAAGATTTGGCCGCCTGTATATATGGTCTTAAAAAGTAAGTGCATCATCTTTATCCTTATGTTTAATGGGTGGGGTCAGTTTGGATAAGCATTGCTGACGAACGGGTTACTGGGTTTATTTCTAACATGAGGCTGGAAATCTTACACAAACAGGGAAAAGGGGGTAGGGGCGGTGTTGAGGGGGGGAGGGGGGTTAATGATATCACAAGTATTTTTTAGCCAAAGATGAGGGATGTAATTTAGTCAATAAATGCTAAATCACCAACTATAATATAAATAGACAGACAATAATTTGCTTTAGTAAGGGATTGTGGGGTTGGGAGTGGGGGTAGTTGAGGTCAGATACTTAATCTTCTCACATAAAGCCCAAAATCAGGATGTCTTCAGTGCAGGTTGCACAAGTTTACAATCCTGTGATAATTGGAATTTACAAAAAAATATAGGCCTTCAGGCTGCTGTGCTGGAAAAAAATGATATGAGTAACCCTGTCACATAAAGTCTATCACCTTGGATGGGTTCTGTTTAGAGAAAGTAAACCTTGCACATGGAAAAAGAATATTTCGGAACCGCCTGAGCTTCCACTTCAACAATTATAATGCCAGAACACTGCCTGATTGTTGGGATTCACAAGGAAGAGACAGTCTCGCTGTACATTTTCTTGTGGGCATTAAAGTGAATTCCCTTTAGGGGAAAACGCCAGCAGCAGATGTCAGTGGTAAAGTGACTTGTCATAAAGACTTTATGGATTATCTTCACACTTCACGGCACTCCGGACATGTCCATAGATGCTCTAATTACTCTTCAGCATATACATCAGCAACTCAGGATATGTCATAATGATAGTTTTGTTATTGTATGTTATCACATTACACATTTAATCATCATTGCATGCCTTGCCAGATAACTTAGATGTTTATGTCTCTACACGGTTGTTTATATTAGGTGGTTGGGTCATAACTGTTGAAGATCTTCCTCTGTGTCATTTTAGACAATCTAGCATCATTTCTCTTGATCCGGGCACTGAGTGGTCTTGAGGTATGGTGTCCGCCTCGAGTGCTAGAGGTCCCGGGTTCAACCTCGGTGAAGGCTGGGATTTTTTTACATGGACTTCTAGTAATTTCCCCTGGTCTCTGGGTAGTGAGATCGGAATCCTCTGTGTATTCTTGCTCACGTATAATAAATCCCATGGCAGTTGGAAATCAAAAAGAGAAGTCTTTCACGGCTAAAAATATACCCAAAGTATTTCAGGGTCCTCGCCAGTGCTACAGAGTTCATGCACTGTGCTGAGATTCTTCAGACTCAGGCTTGAGTTACAAGTAGAACGGAGCACTTATGGTTTACACCCGTGTGCCATGATGTTGATCCATCGAATAAACATAAGCAATACACATAAACATTTTTCTTGACCTGCCTTTGCCTTTTCTTTCAATCAACCAGATGTTTTCCAGTAACTGTCTTCTCATCTTTCAATCACAGAACACATTTTGTCTCTGTCTTACACTTGTATATAATGTTCAGCTTTCACTGTGTGTGTCAGTTGTTAGTGTGGTCACATGGTACAAGGCTTTACAGTATTCTTTCTTCTTTTCATGCTTCTTCATATCGTTCCCCAGCTGTAAACTCTGGCAGAAAGTTCTGGTTGTTCTTTCCCTTCTGGACTATAGTCTTGTTCCAAAACTAGAATTGTCTGTGCATATCCATTTTACAAATCTGGCTTAACTTGTGTGCTGACTGCTGGTTCTTCACCACTCAGGCAGATGTGTTCCGACTAATTAGTTGTCTTTTACGATATGGTTGTTCGGGAGGCAGTGTGTTCCCCCCCCCCCCCCCCTTTACCCAAAAACTTTCAGAAACTACATTATTGCAACCTTCAACCTCTTCCACATATCTTCATTTACATACTAAGGTTCACTGCCATACAAGAGCACAGCTTTGACACAGCATTTCTGTACTTCTTTCTGAAATTGAGTCGGTAATTAATTTTCTTCTGAGTTCACCTTTAACAGAACAGTTAGCATGTTGCATTGTGGTTTACAGCTAGGCTGGGTTTTGGTCCAAAAGATCTGATTACAGCAGGCCCCTAATTAATTGCCTTTTTGGCATGCTTGTTGGGTGGCGGGAGGGGGGGGTGTGGAGGAAGGACCCCGGAGGCCACACAGGGAAGTGATTTAATATAAATGATACTTTCCTCTTCTGATATGCTGCTTTTGCTTTGCCTGTCCTGCTCTTAATCTCTGCAACGCATCTTTCTGGTGACGTTATGATTGTTTCCAAATATCTGAACTTTCTGACGAGGTTAATGTTGATTTATGAATCTGTTTCTAGTGTCAAACCAGAGCATTACCTCTACACCATGGATTTTCTGGATGCTATCGCAGAGGAATACGACAGAGCAAACTAGATGTCAGCACCTCACCCGTAACCCAGAGAGACTATGCACATCAGCAAACACTTTTAAGGTTCTTTCCAACGACCAGACAACAGATTTATTTAACAGGCTTAGGAAAATATTGGAGGCATCTCGGAATAGATTACTTTTTTGGGTTCAGTTGTTAACGTGCGGGTGATTTATTCACCTGCTGCACACCTCAAAGCTTTAGCTTTATATTCACAGTTTAGCATATTTTTTTTTCGTTTGACATCCTGGCAGCTTTAAATTATGAATCATCATTCTTGCTCAGAATGTTGAAATGAAATGTTCTAATGTTCCTGTTCCGCTGTTATTATTATAATTATTGTTATTTATGTTTGTTTCTTGTATCCAGTAAATGTTTGTTAAAATCTGCCTTGCAGGCTAAAGTTCTTTAAGTATGTGAAACATTTGTACAATAAACCACAACTGTTGTTTCTACAGCAGGGTGTGACAATTTGAAATGAATCAAAACTATATGAAGGTTCTGTGGAGAAATTAGCATAAAAGTGTGTACCTACCTCACAAGACCACCGGGCTAGGCGAATTGAAGTGACAGACTACATAAAAAAATGATGTCCTTCACATAGTCTTTGGTTTGTGTTCATCTGACTGGTGTTTTTCAGTTATATGCATGATTTTATTCAGGTAATCAGGTAGTCACAGTTTCAACTTCATAGCAGATAGGTCACCCCCTAGTTGCATCATTCCTGTGCCAATGAAAACCATACAGAATGCCTTTCTCTGTTTCTTGTGATAAAGACCTGACACAGACTGCATTCTCTGCAAATCCAATAACATACACATGCAATAAATGCATAAGGCAGCCATAAGAAGTGCCAACACAAACAGTCCTGCACTAAAATGCAGTTCATCGCTGATGGAAGCAACAGTTATAGAAGGTCAGTAGTTGCACTTGCAATAAATCGCATAAGGCACTACCAGTTTTCTGGCAACAGGTCACTCGAATCCAGCACTTAACAGCACAAAAGCACATTGGGCATAGTTGAAGAGCAGTCTAAATGGAATCGGCAACCCAGTGTTGCATCATGCGCTCACCTCGGTAGCTGGGCAACAGAAGTACATCCTTTCAGTCTGCATATGAAAGAAAATGCAGTCAGACTAAATAATGTCAGATGCAAAAACTTGCCACAGATAAAAACAGTAAGCCTGCCCATCCACAATATTGAATGGAAGACTGTATTTATATGATTTCATTCAGTTAGATCTAGCTACTTATTAAGGCTAAGAACTGACATGAGAGCACTCAGAGCATCCCTATGCTACAGTGGCTCCCTACCATCCAAATTCCTTGGCCATTTAGTAAAGTTCTTCATGTTGTGGTGACCTTAAACCAAACAGTTATTTCCTTTGCTGCCACATATTTCAATAAATACATGTTTTGCAATGGTCTTTGGCAACCCCTGTGCTCGACCCCCCCCCCCCCCCTCTAAAAAAAAAAAAGATTCATGACCCACAGGTTGAGAACCACTGCTGTAAGATCTGTGTTTCTGTCTTAAGCAGCCAGCACATAGTTCCAGTTTAGATGGGACCAGTAGCAGTCTGATGGCATGTCTGTCTTGCCTTTACCTCTATTTCTATGCCTTCTTTTCTCCATTTCCTTGTCTTATGCTCTTCAGCTTCTCTTCTTTGACAGCTGAAAATGGTATCAGGCACAGAGCATGTACTCCTCCTTCGCTTTGCAGATGATCTCTTTTTCAGACCTAATTTTCAGCACATATAGCATAATCACAAGTAAGCATTACATACTACAGGGCTGTTCAAATGGCAGCCTGTACGGTGAATTTGGCACGGGTCGAACTCAGCCCATAGAGGCCTAGCAGTTGACTTGCAGATCACTGCCAGTTTTATTGTATGTATTAATGATCTGTCTTCGCTGGGGCTCGGTTCTCTGGACCGTGAAGATCTTCATTTTCAACATTTTGTCTGCGCATAAACTTAGCTGAATAGCCCTAACATAGTATATGTGTGTAGTTGATGAAGCTTTTGTCAGCATGTGTATTAACTGTCAGCATAATATATCTCCTAAAATGTAGAGTTGGTTGTATGGTGCCTGATATAACCAGTTAGGCTAAAATATACAGGAAGTCTGTTGTAGTGCCACAGAAGGTAAATGATTCATGCCATATCATTTGTTTACATCAAAGACATTTCATTCCATTATTTTGTGCTAGCCCGCTGTACGATCTGTGTGTGTCATAATTGAGATAGTCAGTGTATGAGCTTCAGCTGGTGCAGTTAACTGTGTATGCAAATTTAGATCAGTGGTTTTATGATGTAAACAAAATTGGAGGGACGACAGATAAATACATTTTTTGTTACTAATGGGGACACAAATAAACTAGACACAGAAATAAAAATGTTTCTTATGACTTCTGAAGACCTCAAAATGAATTTGTGTGTTCACAAGCATGAATATGATTCTGCTACAAAATGTTTAAAAATATTAAAAAAAAAATTACATTGGCCACAGCAGCTAAATCGACGGCGTACTCACAGTTCTCATTTCACTGCTGATAATTCAGTGTCCATGTTTTCCATATTCTTACTGTTGATTTTTTTTATACATGTTGTTTGTTAACTGGTTTAAGGTTTCGGGTACAGTCTGCAGTGAGGCAGATAATCCTTTCTTTTCTTCTTAAAATTGACCTTGGCTGCCAGATCCAATCAACCTAACACGAGTACGACGTAATGTACTTGGAACTAAAGATGGCTGGCATCATGTTGACCATATCAGCCACCATGTGCTGATTGGTCTATCAAATATGAGTCCTGCACTATTGCTCGATATGTCACTGGCATACAAGGATCCTTTAATTGCTTCACTAATGTTTAATGGTAATAAGCGAATTAGTGTCCTTCTATTTAGATTTCTAAAAAAATTTACTCAGGGTAGGTTGTAATTAAAGCATTACTTTAGAAACTTTTAAAGGGAAGAGGACTGTGACATTCTTTACGTGGACGTATAAGTCTAAGTTCCGATTATAAATGTCTTCTTTTGTTGTTGTTGCTTGGAAGTTTGCAAATATTACCAGTGGTTTTATTCAAACGATTTGCTGTTTTGAGAAGTGTGTGTCACTGTGTTTTGACATGAAGGTGTGATGTTTTTACCAAGGTTTTTAATCTCCATTATAAAGACCTGTTATATCAACAAACAATTAATTGCAAAATTGTAATTTTAATTTTAGTTTTTGTTACTTAGTCGAAATAATGAACATGGGAAACGAGACGTAAAAGTGCAGAAAACTCATTACCTGACGGTGAAGATTGTATGGGTGAGCTGTTGTAGGGAGAATCATAAAATTGTTGTCATCAATTGTGACAGGGTGTATGAAAAAGCTTCAGGATGAAAGTGGATGTTGTTCTTTTTTATGTTTGATGTTTAGCTGATCATGCATGATGTAGGACAATAAAATCAGAGAAAAAAATGCCAGTACATCTTTGAGTTCTTTATACCAGTTTTGACACAGATGTCAAATGTCAAACTACCCAGCATCTTTTCTCTGTGTCTCCCTCTTTCCCCCTTCAAACTTCCCACCATCATGATGTACACTAGTTTTCTCCTTTGAGTGACATGCCCAAAGAATATAGATTGTCTCCTAAAAGCTACTGTACTTAACTACAACGTCCCTGTGCCTGGGTTAACCCTCTGTGTTGGCTAGAAGGGCAGAATTGGTTCACATTCAGTGCAGCTCTGGTGTCAACTTATCTTTGTAGAATTAACGACAGCTTTCTGATGGCTTGAAAGTGACACAGCCCAACACGTGGTTATTGCAACGGACTCACAGAGCATGCGGACCTGTTCACGTTTCCACACCTAGGATTAGAGTAACTTCCCTTGCCATTCATGCTTCCTTAGGTCGCGGGATCTCTTCTATGTTGCGGGGAGTGTTATGATATGGCTTGGTTTGGCATTCGCTTGGCGTATGTAATGTTTTTGGGAGCTTATGTTGTTGTGTCTATTTCAGGCACCAATGTACAAAAAGGAAGTACTGCAGGGGGTAGCTCCGCAAGCGCAACAATTCTTGGCTATCGAAACTGGGATGTTTTTGTATTTCTGTGTTTGTTAACAGGGGATTTCCCCTGAGAGAAAGAAAGCAGTCACACGGAGCTTAGGAATAGAAAAAAATTTAGCTCTTTCCATTCTCCCAAAACATCGCGCAGATAGCAGAAGACAGTTTCTTCTTCTTCAGATACAGTATCACAGCTTTGTACTGAACACCACCACTTATCTGTTAAGTATAAGTAGGTGCTCTCTCTCTCTCTCATCTCTCTCTCTTGCTCAGTGTGGTATGTGCGTTATAGTGTCTAGTCACGAGCCTTATCTTTTAGATTTATTAGATGCAGATTGTAGTTGGCTAATGTGCACATTCAAGATATCGCAATAAATTACTATTTTATTACTAACATCACGGAAGAGAAAGCTATCGTACACTCGTAACAAAGACGTGATAACAGTCAGCTCAGCCTACAACGGGTAATTGGAAAAGCATTGTGAGTTTGCAAAAGTCAAAGGTAAGTTAACTGGTTTGTATTTGTTAAGAGCTTGATCTGAGACTATAGTGGACCGTATGAGAAAGCGAACGACGAAGGCCCACATATATCGGCATGACACAGGATGATGTTGACATTACGTAAACACTTGTCAATTTCTCAAACAGCTTCATGTAGTCAATACAACTACCGCTGACCAATAGATTCCCGCGACATAAACGTTGCAGCCAATCGCTGGCGAGGTTACATGTGTCGGCCGCGGTAAAGCAGCAGACGACGTGAACGGGTCTGGCCGAGGAGACGGGGAAGTGGTGAGGTGAGTTCAGCTGTACGTTTATTGATTTCATTAATTAATCTTATATATCAATTTTGTATACTATCGTGAACATATCGTGCTAAAGCCTTACCTACATATTATAGCTTGTTTGAATTTCTGGTGTCGTGATTACTGTTTGAGCAGTGTTTGTTGGGTTAAG